TCACAGGACTATAATCTATTTAATCAAACAACATAATCACAATCATTTACAATCCTCTTTAAACAAGATTGGATTATTAAAAAAGTGATTAAACTTTAAAATAGAGACAAAAACAAGAACTGAGAAGAAAACGGATACTTTCAACTTTAGTTTATTTTCTTACAAAGACAAAAGTGCCGTTGAGATATATAAATATAAAGTCTTGAATCACATTCACACCAGTATCGAAGAAAACAACAGTTTGATCACTCTCTCACTGTCTTCTCTCTCTCGTTCATTTCTTCTTCCCAAGTTCCTTGTCTTCTTCTTCTGATGGCCGAAACCCTAGAACCCTTCGTCGTTGGGGAAATCGATACCTCGGCGCCATTCGAGTCAGTGAGAGAAGCCGCAACTCGCTTTGGCGGGTTCGGTTTCTGGAAACCTTCTTCCCATAACTTCCCCGAAGCTTATTCTCAGGTCTCATCTCTCTCTCAGTTCGTCTCTGTCTTTCTCTCACTGCTTTTGCTTGTCTGGCTCATTCTTTGGTTTGAGGGTTTCTTTGTTTATTTGGAATTGGAATGTCACACTGCTGCTATTTGTTTACAAAAATCAAAGTAATTATTAGGAAATTTGTTCACTTGGCATCATCAGTTCTTGAAAAATCTTGCCTTTAGTTCTTTCTTGTGATGCGAAATTTCGAATTTTGGTGAACAGAACGATGTGGATGAAACTAATATGGTGTCGAGAGCGAGTGAGTTAGAGAAGGAGCTGATTGCGAAAGAAGGAGAAACTTTAAAGGTGTTGAAATCGCTTGAGTCGACCAAAGCCATCGTTGAAGAGCTCAAATCAAAGCTACAGCGAAAAGAAGACAAAGAAAACTGCGACATGAATGTGTTAAAAGAACTTAACCAAGCAAAGACAGATCTGTGCAAGACAACCGAAGATCTTGCTGCTATACGCGAGTCCGTTGAGATACTGAACAAGAGACTGGAAGAGGAGCGAGCTGCACTCGACAAGACGCGAGAGAGACTAAACTCTGAGAATGCAGCAGAAATCTCCAAGGAGATTCAAAGGTTAAGCTACGAGGCTAAGGAGTTTAGTAAAACAGGAGAGGATGCTCGTTCAGCGGTTGATAAAGCTGTGGCTGAGATCGAGCAAACGAGAAACAAGATCAAAACTGCTGAGATGCGTTTGGTCGCTGCCAGGAAGATGAAGGAAGCTGCTAGAGCTGCTGAAGCAGTTGCAATCGCTGAAATCAAGGCTGTTACCGGGAGAAAAAGAAGAAGAAGAAGAAGAGGACATGGTCAAGAGACGTTGCAGGAGGAGATTCTTGAGAGGATAGAAGAAACGGCACAAGAGATTAGAAGCAGCAGGAGGACGCTCGAGGAAGGTCTAGAGAAAGTGAATAATGGGAAAATGGAAGCAGAAGAAGAGACCCTCCACGGGAAATGGCAGTGGTCAGAACATAGGAGGAGATCATCATCATCATCATCATACACGGCCAAGTACAAGAACAGGAGAGAGACACTTCTGATAGATGTGAATGGTCTGAATCTGATGATGAATGGAGACGGGACATCATCATCAGTTGCTGTCATGAAACCAACGATGTCGATTGGGCAAATACTCAGCAGGAAACTACTTCTTGCGGATGAGTCAGCGATGATGATGAGCGGGAGAGTGTCGTTGGGTCAGATTCTTGGAAAGACTAACAATGGAAGTGGTGAAAGGAAGGAAAAAGAAAGAAAGTTGAATGGGAAGAGGAAGAGGTTCGGATTGGCCAAATTGTCTGTGATGTTGAACAAAGAGAGCAAGAATAAGAAGAAGAAGATTGCTTTGAACTTAAAATGATTAGTGAGTGAGTGACTGAAATTGAAACTGGTCTATCTTACTTAGGAGTTGTTAGGTGTTTGTGCTGTACTGTCTTATTATGTTAAGGAGCTGAGTTTCCCATTTGTTATCGATATGTATTGGTTATGCTATTAGTAAAATTTGGTGTGATTTGTTTTTAAGTGGAACTCATAATGATAACAGATATAACTGATTTAGTTTCTTGATTTCTTGGAACTCTTGTGAAATTGTTGTTTTTTTCCTGCCTGATTGATCACAAATGGATTTCATTTTGTTAGTAAATTAAATCGCAAAAAGATATAGTTGCGTTGCGGTATATTCGAATATAATAGCCACAAGCTGATGCTGATGCTGACGTGGCCGGATAATTGCTTGTGCTTTTAGAAAACCTCTCATTTGACTTTGGATTATCATACGCAATCGACCAATTCGACGGATCTGGTATTTGATTGTTACCATCTTCTTCTTCTTCTTCTTCTCACAAGCCAGATACTACGAATCATTTGCTCGATTTTTTTCTTTCCTTCTGAAAAATAGGTAAAAACTTTATCTTTTGTCTCTGGTTCAATCTTCTTGACTTTAATCCGGCGCAGAGAATCTCAGGTGTTTGTAAATGAAGAGTCTTTAGTCTTAGTTGAATCTTCTTACCTTCTGATCTTGTTTTCTTTGCCAGGAATCAATGGGACCCAAAGCTCGAACGTTGGTTATTCTCTTGCTTGGTTTGACCTTGCTTTCTGACGCTAGATCTTTCTTTGACTCCACCCTCTCAGGTACGAATTTCCGACTAAATTTCTCCGGGAAAAAGACCATCTTTTTATCTATCTACTCATGCTTGATTGATTCTATAGAAGCTTTGCACTTTAAGAGTCCAATTTTTATGAAATAGTAAGCTTCTGTGGCTGGAGATGACTGAGGTAGCTGAAATAGTCTAATAGAATGGCTCATATATAGTCTAATAAAAGCTCTCTTTATGGCTTAAAATTTCAAGACTTTTCAATCTTTTGTTTTTTTGTCTTTGTGACAGAGGAAGTTTCCAAGAAGGAAGACGTTTGCAAACTGTGTGAGGAATATGTTACTGATGCTCTCAGCTACCTTGAGAAAAATGAAACACAAGCCCAGATATTCGAAGATCTTCATGATCAGTGTTCCCAATTGCGCGGATTTTCGCAGCAGGTTGATCAACTTTTGCATTTCTCTATATTTTTGTCTCAAGAGTGTCCCTCTCTATGGGTTAATCTATAAATCGAAACTGTGTTGAATTGAATAATGATGATATGTTTTTTGTTGCAGTGCATAACTCTGGTTGATTACTATCTCCCTCTCTTCTTCATGCAACTGGAGTCGTTTCAACCTCATTATTTCTGCAAGAGGATGAATCTTTGTGGCAAAGTGGTAGCTCTTGTGGAAGAAGCCCGTCAAGACAGTTGCGGTGTATGCCACAGGACCGTTTCAGAGATTCTCATCAAACTTCAAGATCCCGACACACAGGTTAGTAGTAGTAACTCTATTGAAGATGACAATATTTATGCATTCTGTGTCATAGACCCATTAGTCATAATCTGACCATATTCCTAAAAGCACCCAGAATCACATTCCAAGCTGCTACGCCCTCGTGTAGTTGTCGTTTGCTTGTGTTATGTGTAGATGATTCCTCGTGTAGACTATTTTCTTTTTCATATACACTGACTTTGTTGTTCCCTCGATTATAGTTGGATATAGTTGAACTGCTTCTCAAGGGATGCAAATCGTTCAACAACTACGAGAAGAAGGTTAGAATATTCAGCTCAAAAATTTATGACACTGCTTACACATATATATCATATACTCATTTCTTTCTGATTTTGCTATTGGTTTTCTTGTCAAACTTGCGCAACGCAACTGTATGACCATAGTAGTTAGCTTTGGCTTTTCTCATCTTACCATGTTGTGTCTATGTCATTACAGTGCAAGAAGTTGGTGTTCGAGTATGGACCTCTGATCCTCGTTAATGCAGAGGAATTCCTAGTGAAAAACGACATCTGTACACTCTTACGCGCATGTCCGGCCGAGAAAACGGTTCTAAGGCAGCCCGGGTCGGCGGATTCTTGAATGTTAAAACAATGGGTCTAATTAGGAACAGGAGCTGCTGTGTATTGTCCATAAGAATTGTTGCAGACTTTGTGAACTGTCTGTGTGTATGGTTAGACACACTCCGTAAACGTTTCTTTGCGCTTGTGTAAATAATAATCGCTATAATTATTGTTACCACTGTCATAAAATGATTGTATTCTATAATATCCCTTTTCAGGGTATTACATGTATAAACTATGTCTTTATTTTTATCATCGGTGGTGTTTCTGATTCATTTTGGCAAGTATCCTTTCGCGAAGCTCGAAGAAGACAAAAATGGCGGAAATTCTCTAATTTCTGTTAGAGTGCTCTGATACTATATTAAGGAAAATTATCTTCTTCATTAATGAACAAATGAGATTATAGAGTTTAATATATATACATCAAGATTACAGAGTTTAATATAGAGTTTAATATATATACATCGAAAGCAAAAGGAAACTTAACCATGATTGAACCAATACATTAAACCGGTATTTACTCTAATACCTTTGATAAGAAAGTCTGTGTTGTAGTATTAGGACTAAGAGAAGTCTTGCTTTTGGTCTTCACGAGGATTTTGTCCACAGACAAATTTACATATGTTTCAACTTTTAAGAATCAACATTGTACAACTCGCAATATTTGGTTTGTTTTTCTTTTTAAATGCGATTTTAGATTTGTTACAGAATTAAAATGGATTTTGACAGAATTCCATTATATTGCTTATTTTTTAAAATTCTAAATTAAATGAAATAAATTTTACAACGTTGTATTGAACAAATAATCTGAAGGGTATTGCATATGTTTGTCTGGAGGATTTTTGTATGCATATACAATTGTTACATATGTTTCTATGCATATACAAGTGTGTGTGCACGATTGGTACTAGGACTGACGTGGCCATAAGGGTCAAGATTTGACCAATATATAACCTTTTTTTTGTCTGAACATAGAATAGAATCTTTTTAACAAAAAAACAAAAAAAAAATAGAATAGAATCTAGATTAGTGAGATTGGAATAACTATAGTACAGTACAACGACTCTCAAGTCTCAAGACAACTTAATAAATCATTAAAACGGTCGAAATGACTTTATAGCCGTTGGTCATGTTTTTCTCGCTTGCCGTTTTTTTGGCGCAGGCCAAGAAGTAAAACTAGCCGTTGCAATAAACATAAACTAAACTCTTGTCTTTGTCTTCTTCCTCCGTCACTCGGACCATAATTACTCTTGGCTACAGCACTCAGTCACTCACTTTTTCCTTTCCCATCTCACTAAAAATCAACCTTCTCTCTCTCTATCTCTCTCTCTCTATCTCTCTCTTGCTTTGTTGTCCTCCAAAAACAGAGGAAGAAGAACACAACAAAGAACTGAAACTCCTGCTCTTCTTCATCTTTCTTCTTCTTCGTTTTTCTATTTTTTTTTTCATTTCTTTTGAAATGAGTCTGCTATACAGAAGCCCATTTCGGATTTTTGAATTTAGTTTCATTTCTTGCACGAGTCTCCTCTTGTGTCTCTCACTCTTGTCTGCTCACGCTGTTGCAGGTGGTGGTGGCCGTCACTCCTGGGATGGAATCGTGGTGACTCAGGCGAACTATCAGGCACTCCAAGCAATCAAACACGAACTCATTGACTTCACCGGAGTTCTCAAAAGCTGGAACGACTCTGCCTCCACCAGTGTTTGCTCTGGCGGTTGGGCTGGAATCAAATGCCTCCGAGGCCAAGTGGTTGCCATTCAACTCCCATGGAAGGGACTCGGCGGCACTATCTCCGAGAAGATCGGACAGCTTCAGAGTCTTAGAAAACTTAGCCTCCACGACAACGTCATCGCCGGTTCAGTTCCCCGTTCCCTCGGCTACCTCCGGAGTCTCCGTGGAGTCCATCTTTTTAACAACCGCCTCTCTGGTTCGGTCCCAGCCTCACTCGGCAACTGCCCTCTTCTCCAGAATCTTGATCTTAGCAATAACCAGCTGTCTGGAATCATCCCGGCTAGTCTTGCTGAGTCCACCAGGCTCTATAGGCTCAACCTCAGCTTCAATTTGTTATCCGGTCCACTTCCAGTAAGTGTTACAAGATCATATACCCTCACTTTTCTAGACCTTCAGCATAACAACCTCTCTGGTCCCATACCCGACTTTTCGGTTAATGGCTCTCACCCTCTCAAAACGCTGAATCTAGACCACAATCTCTTCTCTGGAGCTGTTCCCTTGACTCTCTGCAAACAAAGTTTGTTGGAAGAGGTTTCTTTAAGCCATAACCAGCTCTCTGGTTCTATTCCCATGGAATGCGGAGCTCTTCCACAGCTCCACAGCCTTGATGTTTCATACAACTCAATTAACGGAAGCATCCCAGACAGCTTCTCCAACCTTTCATCTCTAGCTTCACTAAACCTCGAGAGCAACCACCTCAAAGGCACAATCCCAGATGCCATCGATAGACTGCACAACCTGACAGTGCTTAACCTCAAGAGAAACAAGATCAATGGTCCTATCCCAGAGAGAATAGGGAACCTATCTGGAATCAGACAGCTTGATCTGTCTGAAAACAACTTCACCGGTCCGATCCCTGCCTCTCTAGTCAACCTTGCGAACCTTTCTTCATTCAACGTCTCATTCAACACGCTCTCTGGTCCTGTTCCGGCTATTCTCTCCACAAAGTTCAACTCAAGCTCTTTCGTGGGCAACATTCAGCTCTGTGGCTACAGTTCCTCCACTCCATGTCCTTCTCCAAAACCTCATCATCCTCTCACCATTTCGCCTACCTCATCACAAGAACCAAGAAAAAAACAACACAGAAAACTCTCGGTGAAGGATATAATTCTAATCGCCATTGGAGCTCTTCTAGCCATTCTGCTTTTGTTATGCTGCGTATTACTCTGCTGCCTGATCAAGAAACGTGCCGCCTTGAAGCAGAAAGACGGCAAGGACAAGATCTCTGAGAAGACATCATCTGCAGTTGCTGCAGCAACATCATCAGCAGGAGGTGAGATGGGAGGAAAGCTAGTCCATTTCGATGGCCCGTTTGTGTTCACTGCCGATGATCTGCTCTGTGCCACGGCTGAGATCATGGGGAAAAGTACTTATGGTACAGCATACAAGGCGACCTTGGAGGACGGAAACGAGGTCGCTGTGAAGCGACTGAGAGAGAAAACAACCAAAGGGGTCAAAGAGTTTGAAGGAGAGGTCACAGCTTTGGGCAAGATTCGACACCCGAATCTTCTTGCTCTAAGAGCTTACTACTTAGGACCCAAAGGAGAGAAGCTCCTCGTCTTCGATTACATGTCCAAGGGTAGCCTCTCTGCGTTTCTTCACGGTAAGCAAATCAAAACCCAAAAAAAAACAAAACCTAATTTGGATTTTAATTGAGATTTTGACATATTAGTGATTCTGAATTTGGGAATTGAAATCAACAGCTCGAGGACCAGAAACCCTAATTCCATGGGAAACAAGGATGAAGATAGCAAAAGGGATCGCTCGTGGCTTGGCTCACCTTCACAGCAACGAGAACACGATCCACGAGAATCTCACGGCCAGCAATATCCTCCTCGACGAGCAGACCAACGCACAGATCGCCGATTACGGACTCTCCAGGCTAATGACGGCGGCCGCCGCCACAAACGTGATCGCAACCGCCGGAACGCTGGGATACCGAGCGCCGGAGTTCTCAAAGATAAAGAACGCAAGCACAAAGACCGACGTATACAGCTTGGGGATCATCATACTGGAGCTATTGACGGGGAAATCTCCAGGTGAGCCGACGAACGGGATGGATTTGCCTCAGTGGGTAGCGTCGATTGTGAAGGAAGAGTGGACCAATGAAGTGTTCGATTTGGAGCTGATGAGAGAGACACAAACCGTTGGAGACGAGCTTTTGAATACTCTGAAATTGGCGTTACATTGTGTTGATCCGTCGCCAGCGGCGAGGCCAGAAGCAATTCAGGTGGTGAATCAGCTTGACGAGATTAGGCCGGAGCCTGAGTCCGCCGAGATGACGCCGATTGGATCCGGCGGTGATGGAGCTAAAGATCCACAGTCAAATGAAGAGGAGAATTGAAGGAGAATTTTCAGTTGAGAATAAAGAAGGCATGATTATCTTATATTATTATTATATATACACTTATAAAACACATTTATATAATTCATTATTCTTTGATTCAAGTAATTTGTAGATATACATGGTTTTTTGTAATGTAATTCGATTATCCATTCTATTTGGTTGTGTGATGTGTTGTTATAAATTTGAACTACTTTATGCTTGGTAGAAGAGAAGAAATCTCATAATAAAACACAAAACAAACAAAATTATAATTTCAATTTCTCCCGAAACATTTGTTTACTCTTTCGTCTCTTTGGTCTCAGCAAAATTTTGATTAATGATAAAATGATGGGATAAAGTTAAAAGAGGTTGAGGCAAGATAGCCAACGACGACGTCGAGGCTCGGTCTCGTTGGGCTCTTGGTCATCTGTCTCATCTTCTTCCTCTTCTATTTCTTCTATCTCTTCTTCGACGTTTCGTTGGTGTAAAGCAGTTGAATTAGAACCAAACATCTCCCATAGATTTTGTAGGTCTTTGGGACTCGGCTCTCCAGACACCACTTTGTTCCAAACATTCTCTAGATGAGTATGCACCACTGCAATATATGAAAGTAAATCCTTGATTACATATCAGATATATCTCAAAGTATAAACAGAAAAAGCGCTAAAAGATTGGAATTGATGATGATAAATGAATAAAGTAAATCCATTGTTTGTGACTCGTTTGCTGACCAATTGTCACAAACAACAAGAAAGATTGGTGAAAAGATTTGGACCTGACTCAATAAATTATTCACTCTACAAAGTATAATAATATAGGGTAAATAGTCTTTATAGAATGACCTATAGCACATTGGAAAAGGGATTTGATTCCATTTTTTACTTAAAACTTCTCTATCTTTTTACTTCTAATCTTTTTCTACCTCGATTCCATTTTCATCCTTTACTCATTCTGAAAAATGCACTGTTTTTCTTATCTTTGATTAGAAATGGCCTAGAAAATAGAGCTTGTCCTTGCTTGGTTTGCTCGCCGAGGATCTTAGTTTGAGTGAATAACGCTTCTTGGTTCTGACAGCTAGTGTAGTCCTTTGAGTTCTAGATCTAGATTTAACAGCTGAACGTCGAAGCACGACGTTGAGGACTCTCATTGTTCGGATCTCCTCTGACTCCTTTGAGGAATCATTCTCTCTTCGAAGATAAAACAACTTCCAATATGTTTTTTGGGCATTTCTTTAGTTTTTATTTTCATTTTTCTTCTTTTGTTCATATTTCTCGCATTCGCCTTTCCTTGAGTTTTCAAGCTCTTTATCACTACTGGTTTAACACATTACTTTATAATATCGGTGTCGACAATCGTACTGATGGAATTTGCTTCTATGTTTTTTTATCTTTTTTTTTGTATGAGACCAATTTTGGTAAATCAATTGTTTGCACATTTTGTAACACCAAATCTTTTTTATTTTTAATGAAATATTTACCATTTAGCAAAAAACTTACTATTAATACATCAATTTATCATAGCAATGACATTTAATCTCATACGTGTACTACGCATGAATTTGTCGAGGGTCTCGAGGCCATTAGAGTAGAAAGTACCATTAACAGAAAGCATAAAAATAATAGGAGATCAATTTGAAACAAAGAAAATATCAAACAATATAAATGAAAAGATGATCAAGATATACTTTCTGTTAATGGCACTTTGAATTGAATGTTAAGTTATATAAAAAAATGTTTTTACAATGAGTGCTACCGTTTTTCGAAATATTGAAAAAATAAAAAAGCAAACAGTTTTATAGTCTTTTTACTACGGTTTCGAACCAAACTAAACTATTATTTTCTCCCTATACATTTTATCACCAGAGAAAAAATTAAGACGATTTCACATGATCTTATCACCGATCTAAATATGCCTCTTGGGTGGTGAGAAAGTTTTTCCATGTATTTCTTTCTTTCCATATACCATATGTCACAGCTTGAAAACATATCTCGTGATGAATAAAGGAATGAAATCAAGAGTGTTATCCGATATATAGTTTTTTTTATATAATTCAAGTGATCCGACTGAATTAGGAGATCGCCGATAGCACAACTTCGAATTTTTAATCCTGACTATAGACTAACGCATCATCCCTACACCGACTAATTCTGAGGCCTAGAAACACCATGTGAATGTCTTGGTAGCCAAATGGATTAAGTTGAGAATTATCTTTCATGACGCCATGAACCAAAACTCATTGTATCGCGGTCTAACACTGACCACTCCCTCGCTACAGATCCTCTTCACCGGCTCCCATGAAGCTCCGGTGAGGACTATCGCGGCCCATGAGAAACCATCACTGCGCTTCTACCGTTCTACCGGTGGCTCTCCGACAAAACGTCTCCCTTTATTTTCCATCGTTTTGAGTTTGCTCACCCACGCTTAATATTGGAAAAGTGGGCATGGCCTAAGTTTGTCTTTTAATGGGCCTTTATGTGGGCTTGTTAAAGAATACGATTCATAATCCTTATCTAGCGGTTGTTAGATCCGCTTGTTGCTTTTGGATAATTTTATAGAAAGAGATCAACCCCACCAACTTTCTCCTCTTTGGAGAGATCATTTTCATCATCTTTCTCTCCTTTACGTATAGTATTTCTAAAAATTCCGTCTTTAAGACAAAAAAAAAAGCTCAGAAGTATGCTCGCTCACTATTAATGGTAAAAGAACAAGTATCACCTTCGAAACTCAAGCAGGACCAAGGGATGAATATCAACCTCAAAAATTGATCATTTCTGAAACCGTTTAGGATGAGATTCCAGTCATTATCTACAATTTTAAGCCCTTATCTTTATGTATTAAGATCGAACATGTGAGAAGCGAACTCTTTGACAAAGAGCTTCCGCATTCATTATGTTGTAATCACAATTTAAGATAGATATAAGTATGATTTGCACACAGAGAAAAACAAAATAATCTTAATCTAGATTTCAATCCGTCAAATCTTAAAAACAAAACCATGAGACTTTAAAACTAAAATCTAATACTAAATAATATAACCCCTAAAGCCTAGTGAAAATATCCTTAAAGCTAAACAAACTGATTTGTGCCTTTAATTTAGACATTTACCTTCGTGACAAAAACAAAAGATTTCATTTACCTTTTTTCAATTATCTTAAGATATATTTAAATAGGTTTAACTCTTAAAAAAAGTTATCTAAAAAAATGTTATATGCTTTGTACGAGTACCTTCGGGAAAGTGACTTATGTCTCCTTCGCTCGTCCCTGCAAGGGATGACTCTAAGGTTCCCCTCAACGGGGTTGAATGGGATGGCGCAACCGGATCAATGGACCCTGATAACAAAAATATTGTTTACGCTTTAGATAGTTTTCATGAACATATCAGAAAATCAAGATAATAATACCTTAGAAAGACAAAGTATAAGTGTTATTTTCATGAACATATAAGAAAATTACCTAGTCTCCCTAAGGTATTAGTATCTTTATTTTTCCTCAAAGATATCTTTTTCAACAAAAAGAACCGAATTTTACGAATCTATTAAGGGAAAAACTCTTATCTTATGGTTTCCATAAGCAGTGTATATATACATTACATAACTAATGTATCAAAAACCCTAATGGGCCATGAGACATTAACCTGATGGTTAATGGGCCGGTTACTAGAAGTCCATTTGTTTATAACACTCCCCCTTGGACAAGGTAACCGTGCCTGTCACAAAACCGGGATCTCTATAATGCGCTGGGGAACGTTGCCTCATTAAAACCTTACCAGGAAAACCCAGTGGGAAAAACCATGGTGAAGGAAAAAGAGTACAACACGCATTACTCCCCCTGGTTTAGGCATCACTGTAGATCTCTAAGTCTACGCATTCCTATCTGATGAATGAGCTTCCGGAGTGTAGAAGTCGGTAATGATTTAGTGAATAGATCGGCTGAATTTTCGCTTGATCGGACTTGCTGAACCTTGACCTGACCATCCTTCTGTAGCTCATGAGTGAAGAAGAATTTGGGCAGAATATGCTTCGTCCGGTCACCTTTGATGTAGCCGTCCTTGAGTTGAGCGATACAAGCTGCATTGTCTTCATACATCACCGTAGGCTCCTTATCTTCGTCCATACCACAATCTGATCGGATATGCTGAGTCATTTCCGCATGGTTGGATGAGGTAGCGGCAATAGTCTGCTTCATGGATCTCCAAGATATTGCTGTTCCTCCATGCGTGAAAACATAACCGGTTTGAGACTGGGCACAGTGCGGATCTGACAAATATCCTGCATCAGCAAAACCAACTAGACCATCCTTGTTATGGTTAGAATAAAATAATCCCAAGTCCTTAGTACCTTGAAGTTATCTAAGGATGTGCTTAATACCGTTCCAGTGCCTTTGAGTTGGACACGAACTAAAGCGAGCTAAGAGGCTCACGGCAAAGCAGATGTCTGGTATAGTGTGACTAGCCAAGTACATTAATGCCCCTATGGCACTGAGGTATGGCATTTCAGGACCGAGGATTTTTTCATCGTCCTTCTTTGGACCGAATGGATCACTATCCAATCCAAGGCTCCTCACAACCATTGCGCTGGTCAATGGGTGGGCCTAGTCCATATTGAATCTCTTGAGTATCTTTTCAGTGTATGCCAATTGATGCACAAGGATTCCGTCATTGACGTACTCAAGTTGTAATCCCAAACAGAATTTAGTTTTGCCTAGGTCTTTCATTTCAAACTCTGCTTTTAAGCATTCAACTGTTTGGGCGATTTCACCAGATGTTCCGAGGATGTTCAAGTCATCCACGTATACTGCTATGATTACAAATCCTTTGTTTTGATATTTTCTGATGAAGATGCATGGACTGATCGGATCGTTTTCGTAGCCTTCTCTGATGAGATATTCGCTTAACCGGTTATACCACATACGTCCGCTTTGTTTCAGTCCATATAAGGATTTGTTCAGCCTAATGCAGTGTTTATCATGAGATGCATGCTTATCTTTGAGCTCAATACCATCTGGTAATCTCATATAGATTTCACTGTCCAGTGGTCCATAAAGATATGCGGTTACAACATCCATTAACCGCAAATCTAAGTTTTCTCTTATGGCCAGACTTATGAGGAATCGAAATGTAGTTGCATCCACCACTGGAGAATAAGTCTCCTCATAATCGATTCCGGGTCTCAGTGAGAATCCTTGTGCTACAAGGCATGCCTTGTATCTAACGACTTCGCCGAGTTCGTTTCTTTTACGCACAAAGACCCATTTGTTTCCCACTGGTTTAACATCGAATGGTGTCCTTAAGATCGGACCAAACACATTCCGTTTCTTTAAACTATTCAACTCCACGTTTATGGCTTCTTTCCATTTCAGCCAATCTGATCTACGAGTGCACTCAATTATAGACGTGGGTTCTAGATCCTCTTGCGTGTGCGCAATCTCAAGTGCTACCTTGTATGCAAAAGTTTCATTGATGTCGACATCTTTTCTGTTCCATAGAGAACCGAATATGATATAATTGATTGAGATCTCATTATTATCAATCCCTTCAGAACCTTGAGTTTTGGCGTCCCAAACCTCTTGAGATGGTTCGATAGGGTAAGTATCAGCTGAGGCTGTATCCGTGTTCTCTTGAATCCCGGTTTCAATCATTGCACCTTTCTTTGATTTCCGGGGATTCTTATCTTTGGAACCTGGTGGTCTGCCACGTTTCTTACGTGCGTCAGACTCTGTAGCAACTTGACTTTTCCCTGAGGGGACATCTATTCGTACTGGTGCATTACAAGCTGATATGTACGATTTGGTAACTTTGTTCGGGTCAGCAAAGGAATCTGGCAATTGATTAGCTAGCTTTTGTAAATGTATAATTCTTTGGACCTCTGAATCACATTCTAGAGTCCGAGGATCTTGCCATTGTGTGGATGTTTGATTCCATGAAAGTTCTTTTACCAGCTTGTCTGTCTCACCACCTAATCTAGGATATACCGATTCATCAAATCGGCAATCTGCATATCTGGCTTTAAACAGATCTTCTGTAGTTGGCTCGAGATATTTTATGATGGTGGGAGAATCAAAACCAACATATATTCCCATCCTCCTTTGAGGTCCCATTTTAGTCCTCTGTGGTGGTGCAATGGGTACATAGACTGAACACCCAAATGTTTTAATATGGGAGACGTCTGGCTCATGACCCGTAGCAATTGGGATGGTGAATATTTGTGCTAACTAGATGGTCGTATGCGTATTAGTTCAGCGGCATGTAAGACTGCGTGTCCCCAAGCTGAGACCGGGAGTTGTGACCTCATGAGTAATGGTCTAGCAACCCATTGAATTCGTTTAATGAAGGATTCAGCTAATCCATTTTGTGTATGGACATGTGGAACGGGATGTTCAACACTTACCCCCATGGACATACAATATTCATTAAACGCTTGGGAAGTGAATTCATCAGCATTATCAAGACGTATAGTCTTTAATGGGAAGTCTGGAAAATGGGCTCGTAATCTGATGATTTGGGCCAATAACCTAGCAAAAGCCTGGTTCCTAGAAGAGAGCAGACAGACATGCGACCAGCGGGTCGATGCGTCAATGAGGACCATGAAATATCTGAATGTCCCACAAGGTGGGTGAATTGGTCCACATATGTCTCCTTGGATTCTTTCCAGAAAGTTCAAGGTCTCTTTAGACACTTTGACTGGTGAAGGTCGGGTAATCAGTTTCCTTTGTGAGCAAGCTGTGCACTTGAGGTGCTGAGGGAAAATACCATTTGGTTTAAGGCTGTGCCCTTTAGAATTCTGGACTAATTTACGCATCATGTTCGCACCGGGATGACCCAGGCGATCATGCCAAATAGTGTAATCTAAAAACCGTGCTTTGATAGCAGCATTAGCCTCAATCATACTGACTTTAGCATGGTAAATGCCAGTAGATACGGCGGGTATAGTTTCAAAAACTTGTTTATGGCCATTTATCATTTTAGTGATAATTAAAAACTCTTTGTTCCCTTCATCCTGAGTTTCGATATGGAAACCATTCAATCTTATGTCTTTGAAACTCAATAGGTTTCTCTTAGAACTGGGTGAGTATAAGGCATCAGAGATGTCTAGATATGTGCCATTTGATAACAACACATTAGCTTGGCCATGGCCCTCTATTAGGCTCGAACTACCTGCTATAGTGCTAATGTTTGCGGTTTTGATTACTAAATTTATGAAGTAATTCTTGTCTTTTAGAATGCTGTGGCTCGATCCACTATCCACAATGATATCCATATTGTCTTGCATATCTTTATTAAACAAGAATTATAATTCAATAACATGCAAAAATGAGATGTAAATAAAACATTACTCCATAAATTAAAATGTAAAAGCAAAAGGTCTTAAAAATCCAAAGTAAAGACAATAAATCCTAAAAAACAAAAGATAAAAGTTTAAGGAGTAATGAAAAACAAATTCAGATTTTTGAGATCAATCAAGGAGGTCGGAGAGCTCATAATCCATGCCATCAATCTTATCATCCTTTGAGTCATCTTCATTGACTTGATGAACCAGGTTAGCCTCATGATTATCTTTCCCATACTTCTGGTAGAGCTCAGCAAGATATTTAGGAGTACGGCAGATCTTGACCCAATGATTAGTCATTCCGCATCTTGAGCAAGGAGTTGGTCTAGATGAACTGCCTCTTTGGGTCGGTTTGTTGATACCACGACCCTTACCCCGACCAAAACTGAGGTTAGATCGGTTATCTTGGTTCGGTCTACCGCGTCCTCTGCCGCGCAGTCCATGTCCATTTCCACGTCCACGTCCACGATCTGAGGATCTGTTACGTTGGACGAAGTTGGACTCTTTTCTGGTTCCTTCTGGCAATGGGGCTGATCCTGGAGGCCGCATGGCACTGTTCCTCAACAGAAGCTGATTGTTCTTCTCAGCAAGCAGTAAGCAAGATATCAAATCCTCATAGGTGCTATGATTCATGGCACGGTATTGTTGTTGGAGAACAACATTGGGAGTGCCAAAAGTAGAGAATGTTTTCTCTAGCATATCCTTATCAGTGACCTCCTCGCCACATAGTTTTATGAGTGCAACTATCCGAAATAGTTCAGAATTGAATTCTTCGACGGATTTGAAATCTTCGAACCGTAGGTTCTTCCAGTCGAACTTGGCTTGGGGCAGTATGACCGTTTTCTGATGGTCATATCGCTTTTTCAGTGCCACCCAAAGTTCGAGTGGATCCTCAAGAGTGAGGTATTGTTGCTTGAGAGACTCAGCGAGGTGATGGCGGATAATAAATATCGCCGAGTACCGTTCTGTTTGAGTCGCGGTGTTGGGATCTTTGATGCATTCACCCAGACTTTTTGAGTTGAGGTAGATCTTGGTGTCAAGGGCCCATTTGAGGTAATTATCTCCGGAGACAGTGAGTGCCTCATATTCGACCTTCTGAATGTTTGACATCTGAAACATATAATAATTTATGTTAAATAATCAATAGTATGAGACTATGATCATTGGAATAAGGGATTTAAGGTATTCTTGGGAAAACTTTCCATTTCAGGAAACTTGCTATTTTAGGAAACTTGCTATATAAGGGAACTCTAAAATCGAACCTTAGGGTTTATAACCTAGCCGGTTTACTAGTGTTTCCAAATTTAGCTCTAATAGATAAACATTGGTTTTTTTTTTTTTTTTTAAATTGATTTTTGGAAACTAATTTGAAATTAACCGATTAAGCTTAAACCGATCGGATTGATCGATTAAACAACAAAACCGGTTAAATTAGATTTAATTTTGGAAACCGGTTATTAGGGTTATTAATCGGTTAAGGGATTAAACTAAACGGATTTGCTAGGGTTTAATTTTTATTAGGAAAAACCGATCGGTTTAAACTTAAACCCTATCGATTTAAGATTAGAATTTATCGGTTTATAAACGGTTTAGGTGGATCGATTGGTTTAGAGTTTAAGGGGTCGATTGGTTTAGGATTTAGGAGCTTGCATGGACCGGTTTTAGGGTTTTCAAGGATCGGATCTAAGATAAATAAGATCGGTTTAGGATTTAAACCGATCGATCTCGGTTTAACGATAGACAAACCAAAACGATTTTAGATCTAGGGTTTTGCAAAGATTTAGGTTTCGGTTGCAAGGAATTTTAGTGTTTGGTTTAGATGATGCTAGGACCGATCGGTATAGGGTTTGAACAAAACATTAGGGTTTAGGTTTTATATGATAAAGCCGATTAGGAAAAATAAAACCAATTAGGGTTTTGACAAGAAGAAAGAGGATCGGTTTGGTTATGGTTTTAAAAACGAAAAAGACGATGAAGAATCATGAAAAGAACCGATCCATATTAGGGTTTTCAAAAAAAAAAAACCAAAACTTTGATTAGGATCTATAGTTTTAGATAATACATTTTCGCCAAATGGATTTCTGACCGGCTTATGATCTGGGAGCTAAAGACCACAGATATCTACTGGAAACTCCTGAGAATGATGGCCAGAAGGGAGGACGAACAGCTGCTACAATAGAGGAACCACCGCTTGGAAAGAATCACCCGCTAAGGTGGGACAGCGCCGATTGTTTTGAGTCTTGAGGGCGCGTCTGGTGTCGGATTGAGGAGCGGTTTTCACCACTAGATTCTTCTCTTCCAGGGCTTCAAAATGATATGTAGATCGCCTTCTAACTCCTTGTATTTTGAGAGATATGATCGTTTGAAGTTGAGCTTCGTGCTGATAACGTATTAAGGGAAAAACTCTTATCTTATATGATTTCTATAAGCAGTGTATATATACATTACATAACTAATGTATCAGAAATCCTCATGGGCCATGAGACATTAACCTGATGGTTAATGGGCCGGTTACTAAAAATCCATTTGTTTATAACAGAATTTTAGTATTTTTCATTTTTTTTTCTGTTTTCTCTCCAAATACTACTGAATTTCAAGAGTTAGCTCTGCAATTCTTAAGAAAAATGTAAAGCTTGTATATATATATATATATATATATATATAATTATACACGTAGAGCTTAAATATAGTAAAGCTGTCCAAAAAACATTTTTAAAGTATAAAATTTATTTCCTATCCTTTTTTTAGAAAACAAAAAAATTACTTTCGATATAACAAAATAATATCCTTTTTATAAAAAATTAATTCTCTTTTTATCAAAAAAAAATTTCCTCTTATAAGAGAAAAGTTTCCTTTCATAAAATAAACAATGTCCTTTTTATACAAATCTACTGTACGTTTTTATGAAAAGAAAAACAAATTCTACTTTAGTTATTTTATATTTATTTCCGTATATGTTTCAAAATCTATCTGAAACAGTTTTTATGTAGAAATGGATGAGAAAATGTGTCAAACTTTCCTAACGTGATAACAATTAATGGAAATATATATATATATATATATATATATTGAATAAAAATATGAGACAGTTCTTTTATATAAATTTACAGTTGTAATTAAGTAATAAGGGAAGTGGCAGTGACAAATTTGTAAAAGTAGTAATTTCTAAATTTAGTGAGAATTAGTCTACAGGTCTAATATAAGTGGACAATGGAGAGGAACAACAAATTTGTTACACATGTTTTGACGTTGTTGGCTAAAGAGAAGTTGAATTATAGTTATTTTCTTGGCTGAATTCGAAAACTATATCAATATACATTTTGAAGCAATTTTCAATTACCTGTTTAACTGTGTACACGTAGACCCTATATATAGATATATAAATTTTCTGTGGACATATATATAAATTATCATGTCTTGACCTATTGTAACAGGACACGTAGATTCAATATAAAACTGGAAATAATTTTCACTTATCATATATTCATCAATTCTAGCGTGACACGTAAACCCATGTTTACATGAGACTTTGCAAAATAGTAATTTTCTTATCATTGTGCATCTTGCGCAAACAAATACCTCTCGAAGAAAGAATACTAAAGGCAAAAGCATTATTACACGGTTTACACCGATATATATTCAGAAGGTATGGTGTAGGAAGGCTAATAGCTCGTCTACTCCACATGTGACTCATTCGGATGTTCGACACAGGGATGAGTTTAACTATCTTTTGGAAGTGATTCGAAACCTTTTTAAAATTTTCAGGAAAAAATACCACGCATTATTAAAAAGCAAACCATTCGAAGGAGATTAAAAGTTAAAACATAACTAATAATCATCCAAAGTTAATTAATCTATTTTTGAACAAAGAGCTGAGAAAATATTCAAACACAAGACGATTAATGTATGGACAAAATTTCAAATTTACAAATAATTAAAAACAGAAACAAAGAAGAAAAAAACAAAATCACAACTCACAACAATAAAAACGATGGAAATAAATTATATTGTGGTTGAAGTCTCTCTTCAGTCAATCACAGAGTGGATCAGCATGGTTGCCTCCTCTGTCGTTGGAACTTCATCTTCAGCTATTGCAAAAGAATAATCAAAACCAAGTTAGCAATGTCGAACTTAACTTTAACCCTTTCCTATATAAAAAAATGTCATACTTAAGTCGGTTTACTTTTTCAAAATCCAAAAAATTCCACTACCTAAACACTATCTTTTAAAAGATTTTTTTTTTTATATATAGATTTAGCCGTGGATAATCCGGTTTTCATGCATCAGTTTTGGCGAATACATTTGTACCGATGCCGAAACCTTAATGAACAAACAAAAATGACCTTTGCGTAGTGTGTGTTTGTGTATGCGTAAACCGAAATGAACAAGCGAATTTAATACTTTTAGAACTAAGAACCGAGATAATCGCACCACAACGCGTGTTCATGTTTTTCCCCCAAAATACCATAAACTGTGCAAGTCCTCGTTGATGAAACAAAAGCGTTACCTGGAAGATGAGAGATAATCTTTTCTAAGATTCCAGCACCTGAACTCTGTCTCGTCTTCTCATCTTCATCTTTAACTTCAGATTTCTCCATATTTTCACCAGATTTGTCGTCTACTGTTGTTGTTGTTGTTGCTGCATCGATAAAGTTGGATATCAGATTGTTCAAAATCCCACCATTAGCTCCCTTCGTTTCCTCTCCTTTTTGCTCTTGTTCTTGTTCTGTTTTATCTTTGTTTTTTTCTGCTACTTCTCTTGGACTTGAGAGCTTTTCTACTTCTGGAACGCCCTCTTCCATATTGCCTTTTGTTCCTTTTTGCTCTTGTTCTTGTTCTGCTTTATATTTGTTTTTTTCTGCTACTTCTCTTGGACTTGAGAGCTTCTCTATTTCTGGAACGCCCTCTTTCATATTGCCTTTTGTTTATTTTTCCATTGGTTACACTTCCTCCTTTAAGGCGGTGCCATTTTACATCTGATAAAAGCAATGATAAATTAACTATTGTTGTACAATTTGGCCGACAGAAAAAAACTATGTTGTATTGTAAACAAAATATAAAAAAAATAAACGATTTTGTATTTTGAAGTTGATCGATGCAAAATATGGTGACAAATTAACAATGAGTTAAATTTGACTATCCAAAGCCGACAACAATAATAAAAAAAAAACAATAATATGAATTTTTTTTTCGTTTTTTGGTTGTGTATTCCTAGATTTTTATTACTGTAAGTGGGTACGTAGTACGTACGCCACGCCAGTAAATCTTGAAAAGACAAGCGTCATGTTTTTCTTACACGTACCTCGTAACTTGTTGAATACCCATATATTGCATTACACGTGTCCGTTGTCCACCAGAACATACTGAGATCTTTCTCTCTGACTCCACGAAGGCATCAGGCATAATTCCTTCCATACATGCCTAGGGATGCAAATTTGAGTCATTTCACCAATTTTTTTGTTTTGCAAAAACAATTGCATTAAATTAAAATTGAGCAATGAAAAGCCCATCCTAGCCAAACCCAAAGAACACAAATCGAACCAAATTAAATAAACCTAAGGCAGCCCAAATAATTCAAAGCTAATTAAACAGATAGAACTCTTATTTTTCAGCAAATTATTACTGTTAAGTTTTTTTTTCTTTATTTTGGTATGTTGGTAGATTGATCAAAGATCTTTGTTGAAAAGTAGTGGAAAGAGTGACTGTCTCGCTCAATTCCTAAATGATATTTGCTTGCTAAGTTACTCACACAAGACTCGATGTTTCACTGTAGCAAAATCCAGTATCTATTATTAGTCACCAAGTTTTTTTTTTTTTTTGAACCTTATTAGTTAGTTATTACTCACCATGTTGTTACAAGTTACAACGACTATCACATATATATATATATATATATAATACAATTTTATTGGATCTAGAAAAAATATCCATCTATCAGACTTCCTCTCTATTTTAATGTTGATAAACCATAATGGATTCTGTCGTAACTTAAACCAAATGGAATAAAAAGTTATCTGTTTAGCCTACGAATCTTAAGATAGTGGCACATCTTACCGAGGCATTGAACTTTAACACAAGTACTCAAGAAAAAGATTAAAAGAATCAAACAAAACTGAACCGATTTGTATATGGCCTATTTTAATAAAACATGAAATCTAGGGGGGGGAATCTAATTTTATTTTCAAAAGAACTTTAAAGTATAATTTTGATAATATATAATACAAAGTAATACATAATCATTCTAAAGCTAGCTGCATCAATTTTGGCTAAAAAGCCTTATGTTTGTACACGCTTTTTGATTTTCTTATTAACCCCCACACTGTGTCACAACAATATATAGTCCAATAACCATTACCTTATTAATTCAACTAGTTATCTTTCGTAATAAACTTGGGTTGCAAGTGGATGTGGGAAGAAGGAGAGAATGCATTTTTGACACCACAGATCCTATGCTTAGTGCTCCAAGGCAGCAACACATGCAAGCCACAAGCTTTTGGTGAAAAACAAGATTGCCTCACCGTTGCACTCAGATAAGAGAGCTTCTTCTTCCTCCTTTGACTAGCCGCTGATGTCACGGCTGCAAGAGCCGCTGCATCAGGCAGGAACCGCTCTATTATGTAACTCGGTGACATGTCTTGGCTTCGCTCTGTGCTCTCCATTGTTAAGTAGCCGTTTGAGTCACCTCCTCCGCTGCTTCCATCATCGAATTCCGTAACACTATCTTTGGGGTGTTCGACCATGTCTATGGCTTGCGTGAGAGACAAGACATCGACCGCGTCTCGGTCGGTGTAATGGGAATGTTCTTGAGTGTCACGTTTCTTCATACGCAACAATCTAGCTGGTGTTAAACTCTCACTGACATCATCGAAGTCGCTGTTTTCACCATTAACGTTCATCTATAAATGCAGAACAACAAGTCACAAAACCAATTGACAGTGATCAGTTTATTGAAAAACCTAAAACGAAGAGAAAACATGAAAAGTTTAGATAAACCTTTAATCTTCCCGGAGGAAGTTTGAGACGGGGAGTCTCGGATTCAGAGTCATTTTTCAAGAGAGACGAGTTCTTGGGCATCCCCGGAGCAGTCTCCCAGCAAAACGGAACAGAAGCTTCCGGGAACTGACCAGGAAGCTTCTCTTGGGTGACATGGCGTTTCGTTGACAAGAAGGGAGCATTGAAGTTTAGCCTCCGAGATCGGTTCATATCCATCATTTCTTCAATCGTGAGAAACGATATCATCTGGAGGGAAAAGATAGATATTTTCTTGTTAATCCAAGAAAGCAATTTGTGAGTTTGGGGAGAGATTTTGTTGTATTGAAACAATTTTTTTTGGTTAGCTGAAAGTTGAAATTTAATGAGTTGTTGTTAAGAGTTTGAAGCTTTCTCGTGTGTGCAAAACCGATATTTTTGGCATCTTTATTGTGTTCACAAGCGAGAAAGAAAGAAAACAAAAGCTCAGAGGTTGAGAAATAGAGAAGCAGAAAAGCTATAGAAAAAGTTAAGTCTCCAACCATGTGGTTATCAAATCTACCATGAAACCAAACAAGAGCTTAAAAAACACAAAGCCAAAATTAAAATGCAGGAGGATTCGAACCAAATGTTGAAGATATTAGGTGTAAATTTTTGGAACATGTTGAAATATGTGAATGAATAGTCTCTTTGTTTTCCTGTTTCAGGAGGATAAAAAACACATCCCCGGATGCTTTGAGAAAAGAAAAAGAAAAAGAAAAAGTGAAGAAAGTTACAGATACAATTACATAATTCCAGTAAAAAAAAAGAAAGAAAGAAGCAATAATACATCTAGAAATAGGACAGAAGAAGAAGTCCAATTTCACCAGAAGTAAGTTCTTTTTCGTGGTTCCTTTTTGGCCTGAAAACGTATTATCGGTTGCAGCAAGAAACACTCTCTGCACTACTATAGTATCCTCAACCCCCCCCCCCCCCAATAACCAAAATTAAAGAAAAAAGTATCATAAAATTTTCTATTTACATGGCTATGCTTTTTTTTTGTTTCTCTGTTCACTGAATTCAAACCTTGTTGATTGCTCAGTTTCTGTTTGCAGAAGGAAATGAACGGTGTAGAAGCATACCAGAAGGGAAGTTGAGAAGAGATTTGCCAACCCAATCAAATGATAGTTTTGTTCTACTTTTGGTCGGTAGCATTTGCTTCACGAGCTTTGTGGTAGAGCTCGAGTGTATCTGCATGTCCTGGATCGATAGACAATGCTGCTTCACAATCTTTAATAGCAGATGCTCCTTCTCCCATAGAATCATAGAACGCTGCCCTTAGATGCAACAGCTGCAAATCTGGTTTAAAGGATATCGCCCTGGAAAGCTCGTCTATGGCCTCACTTTCTTTGTGGTCGTCCATAAGAACTGCAACCAAGTGTTCACGTCAAACAAAACCATCAGAGAAACTGCATATCCTTCCAGTTTAAGAGCAAAAGTCGATAAAAGCATAATCAAACCCTCAAAAAGGATCAACCTTTGCTGTCCTGTTTTCTGGCATTCAATTCTAAGCAACTAAACAAACAAACAGAAAGAAGAAAAACTAAATCTGGCTTTGTAATTAGCGTACCTGCAGCTCTGTATCTGTAAGGGTAGGTTCGGAGAGGGTCTAGTTGTGTTGCCAGGCTAAGGTCGCTCTGTGCCATCTCACGGTCACAATATTCAGAGCGCTTCTCATATGCTGACGCATTGTTCTGAGCCTTTTCTATTAGCTTTGTCATTTCATCATAAGCAGCTTTACGTTGATTTTTCAGATGATAAACACGAGCAAGACCTTGGTGAGCTCGTGTATGCTTAATGTTGAGCGCGTTAGTATAGCAATCAGCTGCAAGATCCAGCTTATCACAATCCACATATACGCTCCCCAGGTTGTTCAAAGCCTACAAGAAAATACACCAAAGAAAAGTTCATGAGATAAGAGTCATTCCTATGGAAATTTCATAAGATTTAGTTGGGTAACCTTTTGACCAGATTTACAAAACTTTTTTTAGGACAGTTGGTCCCTGAGAGGCGAGTACATTCCAGTATGAACAAATTATTCCAAACACTTTGATCAAAATACAAATCGAATAATCCTAAAAACTTGGATTCTGAAACTATGGCAGTCCAACAAGTAACAAACCGGCCAAAGAAATAAGAAATCCAATACTTGATGAAAAACGTGGGAACTTTTTTACTCACTTGTCCCTTACGGAGAGCATCTGAGGGGCACCGAAGTGCTTCTTCAAGGAGCTGGATAACGTAATCTGAGGACTTTGGGTCCAGCGTAGAGTCTGCAAGAGCATAAGCCTTGAGGAAAAACGCTTCGAAAGATCTTTGTCTGGAAATAGACTCCTCAGCCTTGGCCAGGGCTTCCTCACGGTGGCCTGTATCATACAATATCCATCCTTCATACACAAGTCTCTCATGCTTCAACTTTGAATGGTTTCGAGCCAGCCTTAAACTACGCATTGCAGCCTTTTGACAATTTAGCCTGTCAGTATAAAACCAGCACTTATTAAAATCAGTAAGGGACTGACACAACATGCACCGCAAAGATAAAAAATAAAAAAAAAAATCATTGAGATACGCAGTGAGAGGCTATACCGTAGCAGAAGAAGAGACTGTCTAAACCTTAAAAGACTATTCCCTGGATCATTTGCAAGCATATCATGAACAACTGCTAGAGAGCCAATATCATCCACAGAAGACCAATGATCAAACAGCTGCATCCAGCAATCAGCCTGGCTCCGCTGGTGGGCCAGCGGACGGAGCAGCTCCACCATATGATCGGCATGAATTTTCGAGTTAAACATCATAAAATTCGGCTCCAATGTCAAAAGTGCCCGAATATCTTTCAAAGCACCCTCATAATCCTCCTTACCAATAGAAATCCATGCCCTCATCTCCAGACAGTCAGGAGAAGCCTTGAATCCAAGAATCTTGTTCAGTTCCGAGATGGCAGCCCCAAACTGGTTCTCCTCCACCAATGCTACTGCCCTGAATTTGTAGGGGAATGTCAAAGTCGGGTCTAACTCGGTAGCTGTATCCAAATCAAGCAGCTTTTCTTTACCACTGCAATACAAAGACCTCTCCTGGTGCATCCACCCAGTAGCCGTGTGATCCGAGATCAACGAATTGATGATCTTATAAGCCGAGTACCTATGGTCACGCTTGAACTTAGACCTAGCAACACCCACGAGGGAGTAAAGATGACCAACCTCAACCGCCGTGTTAAACCATCTCTGAGCATCCTTATATTCTTTCCTCTCCAGCATCACAACCCCTAGTTGGTGGTACGCAAGCTGTTTCTCCCAATTTTCCACCGCGCATTCAACCAAACGTTCTAAGACCATCACAGTCGTGTTAGATTTCATATCATCTTCCATAGCAATCTGGCTTAAGAAGAAGTATAACGCAAAAGAAGCATGGCCAAGAGACGCCAATCTTTCCCGTCCCTCGACGCTGCAAAAGATCTTTATAACATTCGGATTATGCATAGAACTCGGCAATTCCCTTAGGAAAACCTGGAGACAAGCTGCCACAAGAAGATACGCAGCCTCTTCTAATCCATACTCGATCAACAACATTGCCTCGTCAAGATTATTAACAAGATAAGCCAAATGCGAGTCGCAAGCGGATTTCAATTCATCGCAGCAGAAACGATTCGCCAGCTTCAGAAGCTCCAAGACAACATTAGGAGAGAAGTTATCTAACCTCTTGGTCCTGCTGAATACCTCTGCAGCTCTCATCCCTTCAACAGAGATCCCATTGTGTGTGAAATTGATCGTCCCTCGTTTCATTTCTCTAAACCCTCCGTATAACATCGCCTTGAAAGGTCTCGACAAAGACGCGATTTTGTACCTTACGCAACGAACCTCTTCGTCGCCGATACAAAAGGACATATCGTAGTCTAACTCTTCCTCGGAAGTCGAACATTCGGGAACATCATCAACGTTCATCATCTCCGATTTGGAAGCTCCGGAGCAGACACATGGATCGTAGACGGTTTCCGGGTCATACCGAGAAACAAGGGTCGCCTTTGGGCATTCCAAGTTTCTGCCGCAACAATCCATAGAGCTTGTTCCGATCAGCTCGTCCTCCCTCCTCTCGAATCGGAGCCACGACGCTAAGACGACTTTCGAGTGAACATCCACGGCGTGCTGCCTAGACGACCGGAGACTCCGCCGGAAAAGTTTCGGATCAGATAATCCCCGGAATATAGCGCATTGTTCTAAATAAGCCCCAGATTTCTCGAATTGAGAGCAATTGTCGATCCGACGGTAGACTTCGGCCATCTTCTCGACCAAGTCGACGAATTTCAAGCATGGGTCGATCTGTGGTTCAAGCAGATCGGTATCTGGGAGCCCGCAAGGGAGGAGAGACTCAGGCGACACGACGGCGTTTGATTGATTCGGAGGCGGATATGTGCGGCTTGATTTGGATCGGACCGAATTGACACGGAGGTGATCTTGAAGGTGTTGAAGGAACTTGTCGCCGACTCCTCCTCCTCCGGTTCCGCCACCGCCGCCGTTACCAGGTGGAGGAGGCGGAGGAGGAGCTGATGCATTAAGAGCGTATACTTGCGTCCCTTTACAACCTTCTGCAAGCTTCAAACTTCGCATTGTCGTGAATAGATTATGCTGCATCTTCAATCAAGCAAAACCCGAAATCGAATGTTTGAGAAATAAACAAAATTTCAGATTCATAATCCCCAAATTGCGAAGATCTGACAAAATGGGATTGGGCTAAAACAGCAAGCAATAAATCAGAAGATTTACAATTTCGCCGTCATCTTAGACAATCTCGGAAACTAATGGAAATCTAGAAGATTAGATTAAGGAGCCAAAATCGGGTGAAACCTCTAATCGAAATTAAAATAATAAAATTTATTAAAAATGTTTGCTTTCGTCACGAAAACTTAACGAAGCTCGCTTGCGTCTCCTTCTTCTTCTTCTTCTCAGAAATCGTGTTTTTGCAGTGTAAGTTTCATCGATCCGGTTCGTTTTTTGTTTTTTTGTTATTGTTCCCCACACTGATTTTACGAATCTTTCCTTAAAAATAGAGAGAGAGGTAATCGGAGGAAGATTCCCGCTAGATCGCTCGCTCTCTTCTCTCTCTTTTGGTTTATTGTTTGTTTTTGTTTTTTTTTTTACCAGAGTGCGTTCTTCTAATAATGCAAAAATTATTTTTTTTAAAAACTAGGTGTGTTTGTGGCATCTTTTTATATTCGTGGGTTTTTTGCTTTTTTTTGTCCTCTTGTTAGCTTTAGGATGTGAAAAGTAAATTGATTATTTTATTTTCCATTATTTGTTTTAAGCTTACATTATCCTCTTCATCTATAAAGACGTAATCAACTGCCGTTTCTTTATCTCTTCTTATCTTAGATTTCGCGGCACTTTTTTATACATCTCCAAGAAGTTTGATAATAAAATTAAAATTCTCTGAAAGTACTGCCCTTTTTTACTTTGTTTTTTGGTGCAACCTTTTACTTTGTCAGGTTTTCTTAGCATATGCTTGTTCGTTAGAAATTATATTCCTTTTTCATTTGTTTAGTCCAAAATGTGTTTGTATTATTCATTGTATTTCATTTCCTTTCACCGTTTTGTCCGGCTTAATTCAAACTTTTACTTTTCTGTAGATCATTTGATGGATAATACTTATTATTAAATAAATAGTTCAATACATTATCAAAGACAGTGACATCCAGATTCAAATCCAAGAGCATGTATGTTGTTGTCAAGAAAGAAAATTCTAAAGTTGGATCATATTTATTTTAAAAAATGGTAAACTTATTATTTTATCAATTTTGTTACAGAGGAAAAAATTTAATTGGAAGAAAAACTTTTCCAAACATATCAGATATTAGTACGAGATTTCGATACAAAGTTGGTCGAAAATCAAACAAAATTATTGGACTCATAATTTTTATAACTTTAATCGAATTAACCACAATGATGAACGATTTTGTTTTCATTAGTAGCACTTTTTTTGTTGGAGCACATTTATTTTTTATTTGATGATATTTTTCAACGATCAACATGTTTCTTTTTTATTTAGTTAAATTATATTTCATTTTCTCTAATATTAAAATCGTAAACAAATGTACAGTATTAGTTTTGTTTGTCACTTAAATATGAAAACCGCAAAAATCAGATATAGATTAAAATCCATGAAAACTATACTGTATTCCGCTATATAATTCTAATTCTTTTACCATAAATGTAATTTCTATAGTTTCTCTTTATTACTCGACCAGTATTAAATTCCGGAAAAGAGCCACCATAAATCATTAAGAATCTTCTATAAACATTTTTTCTCGGAAGATTCGTAGCTAGACTGTATCTTGATCCTCAAGGAGGCTACCACATACCTGTGTGCGTGTCCATAAAACACAATCCCTTATATTTAGTTAACATTTTGCTCAAAACCAATTATATTACTGATACAAAACATAAGAAATGATCAGAGAGTATTATAATTAAATTATTTTGTGACAGAACATAATAAATGGCAAGGAAAAAAAAAAGAATTCTTATATGTGCTGTTAGATAGCCGGCAAATAACTTATGCCATCCACATTAAGCGGCGAAGTCATGTCAACACGTTTTACTGTTAATTGTTATATATATATATATATATTTATGGTTAAGGAAGTAATCGTAATTAAATCTGTGCAAAACTATGATTAAGTCTGATACTGCTGGTGATTAGTTTGGGTGATGGCACAAGAATATTATATATAAATTCCATTGGAACATAATTGAGAATGGAAACATAAGGTCATGTGGGTGAGACAGCTAAGAATGTCGTTTAGGTAAAGAATAGAATTTTATCCAAAAGCACGGATCGTACTATACACTTTTGTACATTACCACCAAATTCACTTTGTCTATTTCTCCATGTCCCACCTTTCTATTTTCACAATTCTCCCCCTTTTTTTTTACCAATTAAAAGCATATTTTTTTGCAAAAACTTCAGTAATACAGTTTTGGCATAAGCTTGTGCTCAGTGCTTATCTTCATACCAATCAAATTAGTATTTCCGGTTCAAGTCAATAGTTATTGACGGTTTTGGTGAATTTGTTTGTTTCAAGATATAGAGTTTGTAATATGTAAAAGCTCCTAACTCTTGTGAAATTTCAGGGTACTAGATAATTCTCAACCTAATAAGTTTTCCAATCAGAAAAAATTTCTTTGAATTTTGTCAAAAAAAGAAAGGTAATATGTTTTATGATTTGGAATCGAGATTATAAACTGTGAGTTTGATTACCTATCTGGAATTTAAAGTTTGGATGGTCAATTTCCATAAGTCATTATTTGATCACGATTAAACTCTTCTTCTTTAAAAAAAAAAAAGAGAACAATACGAATCGAACCATGTATGATTTAACTATTGATCCATCAAATATTTGAGAACAACTTCACGAATCGATCCCTTTAGCAATTTGGTCCATCAAATTCAAATGGGTTAAGCCCAATCCAAGCATCACTCGTTTAGAACCGCATAAGTTTAGGCAAATAAACAGTCGAAACTTAAGAGATGTATATGGATGAACTCCATCCAAAACTTGAGCCGTACACCTACAAGAACTAAGCATTAACCAAATCGGACACTACAAAGACATCAGACTTTCTCGAAAAATTTCGTACAAAACATATATTTCAGATTCAGATACTACAAAAATTCATATAGACACTTGAGTAAAAAACCGATTTTTTTTTTTTTGTTCAAAATGGTCATTTGTCCATAAAGGAAAAAGGAACAAGCCAATTCTATTTTTTTGGCAGCATAACAATAATAAAATGTCAGTCAAATTTCTCCCAATCCTGAGTTACATTGGCAGAAGGAGAAGCTGGAGGAGGAGGGTTCAAACTTCCAACACCGTTTCCAAAAGATTCCCACTCCGTGCTTACAGCTGCGGCTTTGCTCTGATCCACAAAAGGATTTGAATATCTCGCCTTCAACGTATCCACAACCTCCTGCAACTTTTGGACCCTACGTACCTGCCAACACAAACCCCCCAATCAAACTATTTTAACTATGCTTAGCTTAGACTGAAGATAGAAGGTATATCTCGAGTGATTCAATGGTGTACAACATGAACTTCTCCAAACTTAATATAAATCCTAATGTATCTTTTACTAAAGTCTCTACATTCACCACTAACTGAACAACAACATTACAAATGTATACATTTAGATCGTTGCAACTCATCCCACTGCCTTACAAGTCACAGGTACTCAATGTGAGTACCTCTATTGACATTCGTATCATCTAAACATATTATGCACACAGATGAAGAATGTAAACTAACCTCTGCCTTTCGCTGTACTCTAGCTTCCCCTTCTGCCTCAATGCCATCCAATTTGAGCAGCTGCCTCATGAGAAACTCTGCAGTCATGTCAAACTCCTCCACTGCAACTTTAGTCCCTCCATTCACAGCAACCTCTAAAGCAACAACCTAATTTTTCAGAAAGATAAAAAACAAACAAAACCAGCTTAAACACGATCCTTCCTCTACTTTCCTACCTTGATAAACAAAAGATGCAGCCTCTAAACCTTACCCTATCCGAGAGCTTATCGACTTCTCCTGTGACTGCGCCAACTGCAGCAATTGCCTTTGCCATCTCTTCGGTCATCACTGGAGGCTGTTCAACTTGTTCCACTCTCTTATTAGGATCCTCCACGAGGACAAGCTTAGACCCATCCTTAACACCAGCAGCTTGCAATTGTTCAGCGTCATCTTTCTCAACTCCCCTGAACAAGATCTTCAGCTCACTAGCCTCTAGCCCAGTTTTCTGGACAAGGGCTTTCTTCACATCCCCTGTTATCACATTCGAGCCTAAAGATATCAATATTTGACTACATCAACACAGCTCAAGAAGGAATTCCATTTACTGTACAATGAATCTACACGAAAATGTCTACCCACGCTAAATCCTCAGCCTAAGGTTATTCGGAATTTCAAGGTAATAGATCAGAATGAACATAGTTTTTCTTAATCAGAAAACGAATCGCGAAAATGAGCTTGTCGGCGAAAAAAGAGCGAGTTACCAAAAGTGGCGTGCGCAGAGACATGAAGATCGTGCTGAGATGAGCCATGGGAAACGAAAATCCTAATCGTCTGAGCAAAAACGGCGGAAGCAGAGTCGGGATCCTGGAGAGGTTGGTCGGAGGAGGCAGCGTCGTCGTCTCTTCGTTGGACGAGCATACCACCAGGTCTCACTTCCCATTCCGAATCGTCGGTTGAGTTATGCATCATCGTCTTCGAAAGACTTTGGTGTTGGACGTGGCCCCTTGGAGCACGAAATTAGGGTTTTCGCAGGGTATGGAAGATTTGATTCACCTCCTCCTCATGCCATACAAATTCTCCCAGATACACGGGTTTTCAACTTTTTCCCTTTTTTTCTTTTCTTTTTCTTTTTCTCCGTAAATAGAAAATTTAAGGAGGATGTTGGAGTGAACAAAATATCATGAGAACAAAACGACGAATATATAACAAAATATCTTAAAACTGGTTTACGTTTTTATATTTGGCTCTACAAAAATATGCATTTGTGTAGCTATGACCATATATGAACATGTGTATAGGACTTGATTTTTTTTTTTTTAAATAATGATAAAACCGATTTATTTTCTTTAAGAAGAGTAAAGAGACGATAATGTATACTAAGCTCTCCTTTCTTGTATTATACATATGAATATATGATGATTCCATAATATTCATTCAACAAAATTTTTGAAACCATATGATGATAGCTGATATGCTTATTAATATGGTTTCCGGTCGGTGAATTTGGTTTTATAGAAAGTTAGTAACAGAGCAGCAAGTAGCGTAGTGCGTGGTTTGTCCCATATTCAAGATGGACCAAGCACACAATAGCAGTCGAAAGATCTGACTAAGTCTCTGGAAGTTATAGAAATAGGAAACGGCAGCGAGAAAAACAGTAATGGTTTCATTCCCTACTTGATAGTTATTTCGCACAAGAAACATTTGTCAAGCACTGAGAGAGACTGATGCATAGTAGTTGGTGATCAAGTACAGTTCCCAAGTGAAGTGCCAATGCAGAGGCCAATGCCATGATTCCAAGGCTAAAAACTCTAAAAATGCAGTTTTAGGCACCGAACGACTCAAAAATACAAACTTGAAATCTTTAGAGCCGGAATTGCCTAGTTGGAGCATAAGATACATAAAAAGGAAATGCCTAACCATCGTTGAGATTGTCAACAACCTCGACCATAGATATAAGATCTTGAAACATCCAGAACGACAAAACAAGAAGAAACTCTGGAAAAGGATTTATGTTTTCAACTCTCTTGTCAATAGTACCTACTTCCTAGTAATAATAAGAATAAGCTCACATATGCATCTACTATTTTTCTTGTTCTTGACCCAAAACTTGGTCAGTCTGATGCTCTAGCTTCACTAGATATAATGTGCAGAAACAACATCAAACAAAATCCAAATACACAGGAACCAAGCAGCAAAATTGATTTGATCCCTCGTAAAAGTGTTCACTTTATTTGATCAACATAACAAGAAAATAGTCTAGCTTAGCCTTGTGGGATCAGACAAAGGCTAATGTATAGTGTATCCAGTTTCTTCTTCCTAATTCTCAAAAAGAGTGGAAATCAAATCTCTGTTTTACAGGAATGAAACACATCTTCCTACTCTTTCCGGGAACTATAAATCAAATGTATATTAATAAGATGAACAATACCCACCAAATGCTCCAACTTGGAAAACTCTTGAGTAGCTGAAAAGAATGAAAAATATACCATCTAAGAAGCCAATTTAGCCGCTTGTTCAGTCGCCTGATTAGCTTCGATTATCTTCTTATTCTTCTCAATCGCCGCCGCAACCTCCTGTGGCATATACTTCTCGTCGTGCTTCGCCAAAACTTCCGTCGCCGAGAAGAAGCAATCGAGATTCCTCGCTTTCTGAGAAACTGGTTTCGTGGAAACCTCCTTCTTCACTTCATCAGTTAACGGCTTGATGAATCCTTCAACCACAACGGAATGACCTTCCCTGAACAGATCCGGCAAAGATCCCTTGTACCTGACTAGAATATCAGTGATCAAATCGGTAATCACGAACTCCATCTCCTGAGACGCCGCAGGCTGCGCGACGCTGCCTTCTAGAACCAGACCTCCGAGCCTAAACTTGTTCTTCGTTGGATTCTCTGCGAATTTCTCCATAGCGTCCGATGGCGTAAGGTAGAAGACAAGCTGGTCCTGGAACTGATTGAGGACGATAACCACGAAGCCTGCGATGCAGCTGAAGGTTAAGGCGTAGGTCCATAAGCGGCGATTCTGCATCTGACGAGCTCTGGCTCCGATGTCGACCTTCTTGGGCCGCGTGGGGCCGCGGCGAGCGATTGAGAGGGATCGGAGGAAGGTGAAGGACGATAATCGCGACAGATCTGATGAGGCGGTGGTCAACGAATAAAGAATCGGCGTCGGAGATTCGAAGGATGACGATTGGATTTGAGGATGCCTTTGAATAGATCGCAGGATCTGAGAACTCCGACGGAACATGAACCTAGCCGCCATTTCCTGGATTTTCCAGAGCACGATAGTTTTTCCCCTCGAGATATTTTCTCGTAGGAAATCGAATTCCGAGAAAGTGAGAGAGGTTTATGGGGTTTTCTCCTTTGGATTGAGGAAAACAACAAAAATGGGAAAAAGGAGAAGGAAGCCACAAGCCGCCCACTGAAACTATGGACCATGTCAAGAACCTCTTTATGGTTTAGAGGGTTTAATACACTTCCCACGACATGTTTTTTTTTGTATGAGCGCCAATAAGAGACCTTCCCTCCATGAACATCTCCCCGGAACATTTATATCTGTCTCTTAAGAGTATTCATTCATTCTCATTGTCACGTTCTCCATGCATTGCAATGGCCACATTGTACATAAATGGCTTTTTGTGTTGTCTTAATATCATATTTTTCACCACTATTTGATATAAATTTCGAATGTCATCATCCTTTTACAGCGCTTCTGAGAATTTTCTTTCCGCACATTGGACCAGGTATAAGTTATAATGTATCACTCAGATTACTTATAGCTTAGTGATTTGGTTGGTCATGTAAACCGAAATGCATTCAAGATATTGGCTTGAACGTTATGCTGTTGTAGCTACAAAAATCTATATTTGAAAGACTAGATATCTTTTATTCCTATCTGAGAAAATATGTTTCGGATTTAAGTCGAGCAGGTCAATGCGAATGAACATTCCAGAAAAGGGTTTGTGCAACAACAAAAACACAAGTTGATAAGTAACTTTTACTTGTTCTTTTTTCTAAGAAGAAACTCTCTGAAACCCGAACATACAAAGAAAAAGGTACCTCAAAGTTCCAAAAATTCTTTAAAATAAACAAAGAGAAGATCTCCTCCTCATTCTTGAGCATTGCTACTTGCTTCCATTGGCTCAGCCTCCGTTGAGGCCTCCCCTGTCTCTCCTGCCTTCTTGGCTGCAATAAACATTCATAATCCCATCATGTTACTTTTTCCTCAACACCAACACTGTGGATTTGCATTTTGAGGTAAATGTCTGCAAATTTATTTTTATAACATCATACCTTTCTTCTTCTTTCCACCACCCTTCTTCTTTTTGAAACCCAAGGATAACCAACCTTTGATCTCAGGGTCCTCAATGGTCTTCGTAGGTTGAAGCTCCTGAAGCGAATGTGAGGTGATCCTATCCGATCCATTTGGCATCAGCAAAACTGTGAATTTAATCTGGGCCACAAAATCCCCTGTTGGAAAAAAAATTTATAATAAAATGAGTCCCAGTGTTAAGATTTATCAAATAGAGGTTTATGTATCAAAGAATCTTCATCGTCCTTACCAGGCTTCTCGTAAAGAACAGGATATGGTTGCAAAAGACCATGGTTCAAACACTCCACAAGTCCAAGACGTGCCCTTTTCTCCTCCAATGACCTAAATTGATCGTATTCTCAGGCAGTGTTAGTAAGTGAGATAATATTTTAAGAATATATATAAATGCTCAAGGTACAAAAGACACCTTGCAGTGAATGGCATATGGGGGAAGTTTTCTTTAATCTCGCTGATTATGAATCTGGAGGCCTTCATCTTTAACTGATAGTTAACAAGCTCATCTTTCCTGTAAATAGTTGTTTGCTTCTCATCTAATAGCTTCGGCTGCAAATTAGAAGATTGTGAGAACTCTGGCAATAAAAGAAGCATCGCTAATGGTCATCAACATGAGTTCAACAAAAGGCAATTTACCTTGCCATCACCAGTGCTTGCCACGATATCTATTGCATAGACTTCATTCTCTTCAAATTCCACATCATCAACCTTAGAATCTGGACTGGATACACTTAGGACAGCCTTGCTTCCATCTATCACCATTTGTTTCATCTGGTGGGAAAGAACCCCTTCAACAATTTTGCAGTCATAAGCTTCAGCCACCTTCTGAATAGCTTCAGTGACAGCATTGTTCTGCCACCAGAAGAAAACAGATATTCAATTGTCTTTATTGCAATATGGTGTAGGGTTAAACAGGAGACTACCAACTCATAGCAATAAATTTTGTTAATATATCATCCCCATATCAGAGTAACTATGACATAAGAGCCTCATTTGGATGTGAATCCATAGCATTCTTAGAGAATATTCATCCTTGGGGGAAACACAAATGAGAAACTTGTCCAGAATCAGCGAACCAATATCTTCTTAACTTAACATACGAGGGAAAAGGGAAGGAAAACAAAAACAAAAAAAATCTTTTCGGAAAAGTAGCGACCACTAACAGTAGTCTACACTAACAGTAGTCTACAGTGGAACCTACTAAAAATTGTAATTATCAAAAGTTCCCATCAGAGTAACTATGACATAAAAGCATCATGTGGATAATAATCCATAGCCAATAATAAGTGTTCATCATTTGGGTTTTGCAAAACCTTATCTATATAATTCAATAACCGAATACAAAGCCAGCAGCCAATAATTTCAACTTTCATGTAAGAGTAGCACCATATAAATAACTGGTTACCTTCTTCCCAGGACGTACAAGCCTCAAAGCAACTTCAGCGGCTGTATTTGCAGCAGCAATAACATCAGCTTTGCGTCCACTAATCGGTCCTTCTTGGAGAACATGTGTGTGGCCAACAAGGGCAATGAAACCATCAATATGGCATCCCATATCACTGATATGGAGAAGGCCAAAACAGCATCAGTTATAAAAACAAGTAACTCACGCAGACACATCTAAATATCATACAGACAAACACAAAGCCATTTCTTCAATACGACTTACATTTTCACCATATCACCTTCTTCCAAAACTGACTCATCACTAGCAAGCGGTGAGAAATGGCCTACGGTGTTGTTCACAGAAATGCATGTTGGAAAAGCGACACCTCGTTCAATCTTCTTCTTAGCATTCTTGTACATGCTCCCTGTTTGCCTTCATACAGAAAAAAAAAACAGAAGAAAACGAAACATGTGAGTAATGAAATCTTTTAGCAGGATATTAAGAACACGAAAACAGAATTGAAAACGAGTAAAAATATACTCACTCTTTGATGAAAGCATCTCCTTTCTCGCAGATATCGACAATCTTAGTTTTTGGCTTGCATTCAGCCAGGACAACCTGCAACGCCTCTGCAATTCCAACCCAAAAATAAATAAATACACAGAACATCAAAGAAAACAAAATCGATAAGGCCACACCATAAGAAATCTAATCCAAATCGGAAATGAAATTTTTTGGAGGAGATCAAAGAGGGCATTACTGTTAACGATTTCAGCGGCGCTCTTGTACTTGGTGACGACTTCAGACGAGGTAAGATCTAGCTCCTTCTCGTCTCTCTCATCGTCCGAACTCATATCTGAAAACTCACAAAGATCGGATACTCGCAGCGAAGTATTTAGGGTTTAAGAAATGGCTAAGGGAGGAGCGATTGGGGAACAATGGTGAGAAATGCAAATGAAGTTGGCTCAAATAAAGGCACTAGGGTTTTCGCTTGTGTCCTAGTTTGACGACACCGTTTCAGATAAATTCATCTTTTTGTTTTTACGTTTCCAATTGCAGCCACGCGTTCTACTTTTAATCCAACATGGGCCGAATGAAGACAGTTTTAAGATTGTCCCGACAAAACATGTGCGTAAACCGGCCCATGATTATCATATTTATTGGATAAATTCTAACTTTGGGGAAAAAAAAAATTAATATGGGTAAAATGATTTTTTCTTTTAAATGAGCAGAATCAAGGAGTTTTTTTTTTTTTTTTGTCAAGAATCAAGGAGTTTTAAATAGATAGAAAATGTTAGATAGTAGAGATACCGAATCCAACTACGTTAAATTTATATTAAAAGAAAAAAATCCCAATTTGTTGATAATAACTTCTTGGGTTCTTGGAGAAACAGAAAATGGATTAAAGCTAAACTTTGTAGTCGTGTCAAGCAGGTCGTTAATAACTGTAGCAAGTTGACTGAGTAAGCATCAACGTGTCATCTCCCCACGGCCAACACTCTCTGGTCTCGCCGCGTCGCCTTGTCCATGTAGCACCTTACTTTTCTTCTCCTTTTGTTTTCTAATGGAACCCATCAGTTTCTATTTATAGGAATATTGCGTCGTCCGTATCTTTGTCGGAGCATATAACCAAGCAAGAGCTTTTTAAAAAATCCTTAATTAAGTCGTTTTTTTTTTGGGCAAAATGGCATCAAAGCAACAAAGCCGCGAAGAGCTTGATGAGATGGCCAGGCAAGGAGAGACGGTCGTGCCAGGTGGCACTGGCGGCAAAAGCGTTGAAGCTCAAGAGCATCTCGCTGAAGGTCAATCACAACTTTGCTAATCTTTTTAATATCATATAACCAATTCACTCTTAATATCTTACTATAAAAGTAAACTATGAACATTACTTAAAAAAAAAATGTTTACTCTAATCTCCATGCTTTTATGAAAATTTGCATATGCACTTTTAATCATACTTTTTAGTCTAACGAGTTAGACTCATTAAAACACTAGTATATCTAATATAAGATGATTTATGTATATGCACTTTTAATCTTACTTTCTAGGCTAACGAGATCGACACATTAAAACACTAATATATCTTAATATAAGATGATTTTAGTTTTACTTGAATATAAACTAGCCTTCATGCTTACATGAAATTATGTATACATTGCTCAGGAAGGAGCAAGGGAGGGCAGACGAGGAAAGAGCAGCTTGGGCATGAAGGGTACCAGGAGATGGGTCACAAGGGAGGAGAGACGAGGAAAGAGCAACTTGGGCATGAAGGGTACCAGGAGATGGGTCACAAGGGAGGAGAGGCGAGGAAGGAGCAGCTTGGGCACGAGGGTTATCAGGAAATGGGTCACAAGGGAGGAGAGGCGAGAAAGGAGCAGCTAGGGACCGAGGGTTACAAGGAAATGGGACACAAGGGAGGCGAGGCGAGGAAGGAGCAGCTAGGGACCGAGGGTTACAAGGAAATGGGACACAAGGGAGGAGAGGCGAGGAAAGAGCAACTAGGGACCGAGGGTTATAAGGAGATGGGTCACAAGGGAGGAGAGGCGAGGAAGGAGCAGCTAGGAACCGAGGGTTATAAGGAGATGGGACGTTTAGGAGGACTCACTACGAAGGACAAATCTGGTGGAGAGCGTGCGGAGGAGAAAGGGATTGAGATCGATGAGTCTAAGTTCACCAACAAGTGATAGTAGCTAGTAAAGTCCGCTGCAACATCCTGTACGATAATCTGAATAAGTAACCTCTAGGTTTTGTGAGTTGCAGCGTGTGTCTTACTAATTAGGTTTAATGTCTAGTTTAATTTTCATGTGTGTGATATAACTACGCTAAGCTTGTACTAACGGTAGGGTTGTACCGCTCTGGAAGTTTTTTGAGTTTTTGGTGAGGGTGCAATCAAAATGGTATATCCGGTTATGGTTCTGATATGCGGTTTTACTCTAGTGTCTACTTACTACCAGTGTGACAGTATAACTTGTCTTAACATGACCGAGAGTCCTGCAATGTTTAGATTACATGCAAGTTGTGCTTGGTAAAATCAGTAGAAAATACGCACCAATACAGATGATAGAACTTTGTATTTGTCTTGAATAAAATTGATTTGTAGAATCAAGACAAAAGTATTGAAAATATACGGACTAATTAACATAAGTCCCGAAGGGGCATAAGAAACGCATTTCTGACCTTATTGGTACACTGCGATTACAACTTCACCCGATTCGGGTAAGTGGTTACAACAAGGATTGTTTCTGTACTGGTACATACATTTTACAATATCTGAGACTAGTCGAAGCCACCACATTTATGGCTCGCAATAGGATATTTGCTCTCGCCAAAACTCCATTCAAATACGCTCGTTCAGTGACTTGACGCTAATGCCGTCACGAATATGCCTAGCACCAAGAATGGCTGTGCGCTTGCCTGTAATCAAGCAGTGAATTTCAAACTTGTTAGTACTTAGCCTCCAATTGGCAAGACGAGCTCTACATTTTTTTCAGATGACTTACCTGGTACTTGACGTCGTATTTGACAGGGTCCTTGAGAAAGTACTTAAACTGCAGTTTGAAGAAGAGTGTAATAATCAGACGAGTGACGTTTAAACCGAACCAAAAAAAAGAGTGTTAATAATCAGACGAGTGACAAGAGTGTAGTGAATTTGAAGACGACACTGTTATACATCTTTACCTGGAACACAATCTGCGGAATAATCAAAGCAAGCAACGCCAACGCATAATAAGGTTTGCCAGATGCTAATAGATATCCTGCAATCAAATAAACATTTACTAGTGATGCGCAAAGATAGTGTGTCTCTTAAGCTTAGCTTATTAGCATCTATTTTACTACAGTTGGAGCAATCAAATCTATGAAGGAGGAATTTCCCAAAAAACAAAAAGACAGTTGGTACGTAAAATAGATGTTAATAGCCATATGAAAATCCACCAGACACACAAACAAAACATAAAAAAAATGCCTCTTCATTAGCTCATTTTTCTAAAGCTTGTGACCCGCAAAAAACCAAGGCATTTAGTTTCATTGCTTTGTGTTTTTGAACAGGTGGTGATAATTGATAAGATCAAGCAGAAGAAATAGAAGCCGCAGCTGCACAAAACTCTATTACATACCGGCAACAGAGAGCTGAGTAATGTCAATAGCACCAACGCATATCCATTTTGCAGCTTCAGTGCCAAAAGCTACTGGGAGAGACTGAAGTCCCATTGCTCTGTCTCCTTCAACACTTTTGAAGTCATTAACAATGGCTATTCCCAACTACAATATTACACAGGTAGATGAAGCAAAATTAGACTATCAGAGATAACAAAGAAAAAGCGTCATAAAAGTTTGCAAAAAGAGTACCCCAGCTATGCTGTACAAGAGTGTTAGAACAACAACGTCTGGTGTAAGAGTGCCAAACAATGCTTGCCCAGCCCACCTATCAATCAAGTGAACAAAAATAACAAATCAATGAGATAAGAACACGCTATGTATTGATGCACGAAATATCTTACCAAGGCAAACTGATATAGCTTGCTCCAAGTGCAAAATTTCCAACCCATCCGTTTTGCTTTAGCTGCAAAGAGATTCGTTCATGTATTGATAAGTTCTAAACTCCATCGCGAAGACGACGCAGAATGTTTAGTCACTGCAGCAGTGGAAATTCGGTATAGAACTTACCTTAAGAGGTGGAGCAGAGTATATATAAGACAACAAGGATCCTCCCAAAGCAAGATAGAACAAAGTGGGAGTGGTATGCCCTGCCTGAAAAGGGAGGGTTGAGTAAATGTGATGTGCCGTTTATCCGTAATAGTTACATCAAAACCGAAAACTTACCCACACATCTAAGGTTCCAGCAATTCCAAGACCTCCTAGCAATAGCACCCAGACTTGTGTAATAACCTGCATTTAAGGAGTTGCAAACAAGGAGGAGAAATCATTAATCAAACAAACTTACGGTTATAAGCTAAAAATGTTCCGTATCAGTACCTCTTGCTCTGATATTGCTCCAGATGGAATTGGGCGATATGGCTCATTAATTGCATCAATATCTCGATCATACCAGTCGTTGATTGTCTGGGAACCGATACGTCTAAGTTATGTAGCACTAAGAAAATGCAATACTTCAAAGAAAAACTCCAGGTTTTTGTTCAGCGAAATCAGACCTGTGTGTAGCCAGTAAGACATGGGCCAGACATCATCATGCAAAGAATCGACTTAGCAACATCCTCTGGGGTCCAGTGGAAGTTTCCTGCCAAAAGAAACAATTTTAAAGGAAATGTATTTTGAGCAACCAAAGACTTAGTCATGGGATTCCAGAGAAAACAATTTAGCGAAGACGTCAAGAAGATTGTAAAGAGGTTCAAATGTTACCTGAAGCAGCAGCACCACAGACCACTCCCCACACCAATGGGGGCCAGGTGACTGGTTTTGTTAGCTGAAGACGAATCTTCCATTTATTCTGAACACAGAAATATAAGTGAACATCTAACTCTTTTTAGCTAGCTAATTAAATATGCAGCATTTTTTGTCATAATTGTTTACTAAAACGTGAGTACATACATATGCAATGATGAGAGAAACACCTAAACTATGTCATTATGCACACAACACATGATGGATTTTGTTCTCATTCCTTTTAATTGTGATACATCAATTTCTGAATTTCACATGCACTGGACAAAAATTCAAAAATGTCCGAGAAGATGAAGAAAGTTACAGTCTCTTGAGCTGCTCCTTTGATACCCAAAAGCTGGTTAATGCTCGAACCTCCGGCTGGTGCCCTGTCCGGTACCTGAGATTCAACTGCCGTGGAGATTCAAACCCTAGTTAAGTAAGCTTCAAATCTAACGAAAGACTTACAAAAAAAAAATGAAAGTTCAAAAAACCTTTATCCGTATCAGTCTCCGCCGCACGCACAACCAATCTCCGCCCTACGAACATAGCAAAATCAGCGAAAAGTCGAAGAATGCGATCAGAATCCGACTAAATTAATGGAATGTACCAGACGATTCGAAGTCCAACGTCGACCAAACGGGACGCCGACGAGTGAACTCGACGGAATCCGGGTTCCGGAGAGAGAGAACTCCGACTCGATCGACGGAGGAAACTCTAGAGGTAAGGATGGAGGAGACGGTGTTGAGAATCGAAGTCATAGAAGCGGCGGAGAGAATCGTCTCTGGTGGTGGCAGCAAGCCGGAGATGGAGTGGTGTGAGCTTTTTTTTTGGGCAGTTAGCTGTTTCGGGAAAGCTGTGGCTGTAAGTTACCGGCGATAAGAGTCCACGTCACATTTTTGGCGGCCTCCATTGCCATGCTACTACGTGGCACAAATCTCTTGCACAATCACAATTTAATTTTTCAAATTGAATTAACAACAGATATTTTGTTCGAGGCCCATGCGTTTAAGGGAAAGCCCATTAGCACCGACGACACACACGTGGCAACAGTCAACTTCGAAGGGAAAATAATAGAACAATCTTTGACATTCTTTTCTCTGATCTCGTTCTTGAACAATAATATCAAACTCAAACATCATCCTTCAAATTTAATCTTCTTTTTCGAATATTATTTCAAATCGCAGTATTGTGTTGATGGAGATCGCTTCATCTTCAAGTAGATTCAAGCTCTACGATCTTTTTGAGCTTCTGGAGTTTCCTGATAAGTACGTCGTCAAACCCGTCGAATCGCCTCATGAAGGCTTCTCCGTCGATCGGCGCGATGGCCACATCAAATCTCTTGATGGTAAATCATTCTTTCTCTCCTCAGCTCTCTCTCCGTTTCCTGTTTTGCTTTCAAGATAAAACTTGGCATCTTTAGGGATGATTACCCGAAACTAGCTATAACAGGTTACGAGGAAATGTAGAGGAAATCTGTTGTATTCTCATGTTTAGCCTGTTGTATTTGATGTTACTGTTTCTATTCTACTTCAGAAAACACTTCCTCTGGAAATCCTACCAGAGTCTCTACTATCTATGGCGTAGGAGGAACTATTAGGCTCTTAGCAGGTGAAATTATTTCCTATACTTCTTTTAATTTGTTTTGGTTTCTGCTTAAATGAAACCTGTACTGTGTTTGCATATGAGATGAGAGTTTTATTGCGGTTTTCGTCTCATATTTTAGGAACATACTTGCTTGTTATAATGTCTCGGGAGGAAGTTGGGACTTTCCTCGGTTTTCCCATTTTTCGAGCCACTGCTATGAAGTTCCTACCTTGCAATGAGGCTTTGAAGTTTGCTACTTCTCAAGAAGTAAGTTTTTGTGAAGTTGTAACAGATATACGATTTTAGCAGTTTTTATCACGTTAAGTTGTCTGTGGAACTTTTTCATTACTTGGTAATGGTGGCTTGTGCAGAAAAAGGACGAAACATATTTTAGGACTCTGTTACAATCACTTGAGGCAACCCCAGGATTGTATTTTTCGTATGGAACAGATCTAACAGTCAAGTAAGTTTCACTATCTGATCATCTTGAGTAAAGAGTGTCGTTCTCCAGATGTGTGTGATCCTTTGTATAAGTAGGATATCCACAGCTTTAAGGATATTTATCAAATTCATTCATCCAATGTTTCAGCTTGCAAAGAAGGTGCAAGCTAGCTGAAGGTTGGACGCGTAAGCCCATGTGGAAGCAGGTTGGTTATTCATCTGATTCTTATCTTATTTTCTTAGATCCAGTGCAATTTCATTTTTTCTGTTACGACATTGTTGTCGTCGAGTTACAGTTAAGCTGAAGGTTTTTTTCTTGCATGTCAGGCTGACCCTCGTTATGTTTGGAACTGGCATCTTTTGGAGGAAATGATTGAATGCAAAGTAAGTTTTCTGACACTTGTTCTAATCTTCTCATTCCATTTCAAACTTCGCAGATCTAATCTGCTCTTATCGTGGCAGCTGGATGGTTTTATTATCCCTCTACTTCAAGGAAATATCCTTTCTTTATCTTCTGAAGCTTCTGTTTCGCTTCTTCTTGGACTACATATATATATATGTGTGTGTGTGTGTGTAAGATTGTGTCTTTCAAATATTCATGTTAACAGACGATATACATGTTTGTTTAAAAATTAACCAACGGTTAAGCTACCAAGTTGCTGAGCTAAAGCTCAAGAATTCTCCTGCTGTCATATCATTACTTTCCAGGCGCTGTACACGGCGTCTAGGTAAGTTTTAATTTTGTGATTAGTGCTGCTGGAAAATTCAGTTAAATGCATGTCTGTTTGACAGTCATGTTGGAATACGGCGTCTAGGTACACGTATGTGGAGAAGAGGAGCCAATCTTGAGGGAGACACTGCTAATTTTGTCGAAACTGAACAAGTAGTGGAGATTAATGGTTTCAAGTTCTCATTATTGCAGGTATACCTCTGTTAGGAGCTCATTCACATGCTGTGTCTTGTTGCTCATTCATGTGCGGTGTCCTGTTGAAATGATCTTTTTTTGTTACTGTACTGGGTCATCTGCAATATTATGTGGACATTTATTGTTAAATAAAAAATTTATGTGAGATTTCTTTCATAGCTCCGGAAAAAAATATCCAATGTGACTCATTTCAGCGGAATCGTTACTGCTTTAAAAGTTTTGGATATGCTTGAAATCCACTGTTTCATTATTTTGTTACTTCATACCTCTACTTAGTATTTATAAGGCACCATGCTCCGTTTTTAAGGTTTCCCTTCATTTCTTGTCGATTGTAATGGTCTTGCTTTCACTTGCTAGGTTCGAGGTTCAATTCCACTTCTTTGGGAGCAGATTGTTGATTTGAGCTATAAGCCACGACTTAAGATAAATAAGCATGAAGAGACGGTAACTTTACTGATTTTATTGCCGATTTGTTATACGCTGTCCTGCCCTCGACCTTGACTAGTTTACTTTCTGCCTCTAGCCGAAGGTTGTGCATCGCCATTTCCATGATCTTTGCCAAAGATATGGAGAAATCATGGCAGTTGACCTAACAGATCAGGTTGATTTCTTCGTTCCTCATTCAGATAACATAAGTACATGGCATAAAACATATGTGCACTCTGAAATCTATGACACCTTAGCTTCAACTCTATTGCGGTTTCTGCTATGCAATATTCACTTGCTTACTTTTTTGTCTGAGTAACTTAGTCTCTCACATTTTACTACATTAGCATGGAGATGAAGGTGACTTAAGCAAAGCATACGCCACCGAAATGGATAGGCTTCCAAATGTGAGGTAAAATTCTTTTTGCTTGTTGACACATTCACCTTAATCCTTCGTTTTTTATCATTTAATGTATTTGGTTTTCGTTTGGGATATTTTTCAGCAATCACTGTGAAGTTTTCCCGTTTCCTGACACTTAAACATTTTCTCGTTTGTTTGGATGTCGCTCACCTTCTCTTTATTCAAAGTGTTCTTCGATCGTACACATCAACTGGATTTAAAGATATTAATAGTTAATGAGGTTTTTTTTATGCAGATATGTCTCCTTTGACTTCCATCAAATCTGTGGAACTACAAACTTCGACAACTTGGGGGTACTGTATGAACAGATTGGGGATGAATTTGAAAAGCAAGGGTAAGCAGACAAATTATCGTTTTGATTCTGCTCGTTTCAGATCTAGATGCTAAGTTAATATGGTTAGCAGTCAGAAGTTGTTTATTTGGTTCAAGTTAGGTAGCTGCTATCTGTGTGCATAGTATTTTGTTTCAGCTGCCACTAATCCAAGCTGAGCAGATATTTCCTTGTAGACGCAGACGAGAACATCCTAGAAGAGCAGAAAGGAGTTATCAGATCTAACTGCATCGACTGCCTTGACCGCACAAATGTTACCCAGGTTTGTTGAATGCATTTCTTACTCTTTTTCGTTTCCATTAGCCATCATTGTACTTCTTCTGATTGTATTCTAAAACCTTTTTTCATTGAACTGCGTCTGATTGCATTCTGAAACCTTTTTTCATTGCATCATATGAAAAGAATTACATGGCCCAAAAATCTCTGAATCTACAACTTAAAAGGATCGGAGTGTTTGATTCCACAGAGTGTGTATCCATGTTCGAGGATGATTACACAAAATTCAAAACAAGTAAGTGGTTATTGCTTCCAACTTTTCAGTGCGCTTTCCAGTTTTATAGCTGTAAAGAATATCTTCCGTCTTCATCAAAAGAGTAATCATTTTTTGCTGTTCTAATAGTTTGGGCCGAGCAAGGGGACGCGATTAGCTTGCAATACGCCGGGACCTATGCTCTTAAGGGCGACCTCGTCAGGTGAGAAATGTCTCCCCTAAGATATCTTGAAAAATGTTGCTTTTAAAACTGTTAATATGTAGGATTTGTGATTATAGAAATAAAGCTGAACTATGCTTGTGATATATTGCACAGTTTTCTCTGAAATTTTCAAGGCATCGGCTTAGATCAATATACTCAATAAGAAAGACGATGACAACAGTTACATATTGGTAATATATGATCTGGGGTTATGGTGCAGGTACGGGAAACAGACGGTGTCTGGAGCAATCAAAGATGGCATCAGTGCGATGTCGAGGTACTATCTGAATAATTTCCAGGATGGTGTGAGGCAGGCAAGTTTCTTTCACAAAATTAGAGTTGAGGTTAATATAAGGTCAAATATGAGAAACTGAAGGAAAAGAAAACAAAGAAATGAAAGCGAGATTTTTCATATTCCAGGATGCTTTGGATCTCATAAGTGGTCGCTATACAGTTGGCACAAACAGCCCTTCACAAATACAGCCTATTGGATCACAACCGTCTGTATGTTCCTCCTAACCCCTAGAAACACTTTGGTTAGATGCTGATTGGATTTTTGTTTTTATTTCCTTGCTTGTTTTGTTTTGTTGGGTGAGAATATACAGTTTCTGCCGGTGGCGTCAGCATTGCTGATAGGTGGTGTAACAGTGACATCTTTCACAATTCATCAAGGTAAAAGGCTTTTTGATTCAATATTTTGACTTGAAGGAATGAGTTGTTAAAATGATATGTGTGTTGGGTGATAAACACAGCGGGAAGAAACACGCAGCAGTATCTGGCATCGGCGTTGTGGGCAGGAGTGACTGCAGGAGTTGTGGCGATGATCAAAGCCAATGGAAGGCACTTATGTTCTAAGCCTCGTCTTTGCCATCTCATTTGATTCTTTCTACATTCAGATTCTCTGCCTTGGCCACATTCTTCTCAAATCCCACGACCTCTCTCTTTCTTCTCTTTCACGTGTTTTCTTGTTCAACTTACGTGTGCAAGCTTTGAATACTTAAAAGGGCCATATCAAAAATAATCAAATAAGTCTACAAAAACTAAACAATGTACATATAGTGATGTTTATTCAGACTATTATTTATTTTTCATATTATTTTGATTTCTTCTTCAAACCAATCTAAATTTCTGTTATAGTTTAGTATAAACTGGATCAGAACATATTTTTACAGAACCAAGAAAACCCAGAAAGACATTTAAATCGAGATGCAACAAACGTTTTACTTATTATTTCTGCTTCTTTGAATTGAATAAAATGTTACGGAATGATTCTATTCCCTGTTACATGAATCCATAATTGCAATCAAAGTTTGCGCACGACCCTTTGAGATAGATTTTATTTGCCCCACATTACATTATTAAAGTAACCAACAGACAACAACAAACACTGCACAAACCTTAATTAACCTTAAAGACGGCTCCGTGAAACCGGTTTGAAACTCGCGATTCCCGTTACTTCCCTTGCCGTCACTAAGGTGTTTATATCGTAAGTCCCTTCGTATGTATAAATGGGTTCAAGGTCACAGAAAGCCTGCAAATATTTTACTTTTTTAGCACTTAACTCTGACCATTTTTCATTAATACCCAACGAAGCTCACCTTTGCCACCAGAAAATCAGCTAAAATTCCATTCCCACCGAGTAATTCCCGACCTAGCGAAGCTGTTTCCCTTCCCTTCGATGAAATCCATGCCTAGAGAAAACACATAATTGGTTATGCAAATGATTTCAGTCAACGTTTACTATTGAGCTATGCTTGATTCTACACTACAATGCAGATTTTAATAAGCAAAAAGGATTTTTTGCTATACCTTTCCTAAACTGGCCTGACCTGGAGTCATCTGACCCGACTCATATAGCTTGCAGAGGCGCCAACCCATAAGAAACATCGCTTGAACATTACCCAACATCTGCACAAGCTTTTGTTGATTTATTTGGAAAGCAGCCAACGGTGCTCCAAACTGTTTCCTCTCCTTCAGGTATCTTTGAACAATACACATTAAATGGGGAATTATTGTAAGAAACGAGATAATGCACAAAACTATGATTACTGTGGTCTGGCTGTTTCTATGGTAATGAATACCTGTGACACATATCGTAGATTCCCATTGATATGCCGATTGGTTGCCAGGCGACCATTACACGTGAAACAGCAAGGACCTATTCATGTTTAGTGTAGACAACCACTTTAATATCACAACAACGAGAGGAGAATGTAATGTTTTGCTTGTGTTAAAATATCCAAAGACCATTTTTGGGTCATGCGGAATTATCACCACAGTACCTTGCTGGTATCCTGAAAAGAATTCACCCCAGGTAACCGATCCTCATCCGGAACAAATACATTCTGTAGTAGTATATCTCCATTTTGAACCATACGTAAGCCTATTTTATTCGCCATCTTTGTTGCCTTTAGGCCAGGCGCATCTTTCTTGACTATGTATCTGCAAGAGGGCTGCTGCTCAGTAATTTTCCAAAGCAGAAAATATAGTCTATCTTAAATATATCAAGAGCCATGTATTTAGAATAACACATAAGTCCAGTATGCTCTTGATAACGGTTTATACAATATTTATTGTTCAGTACACTTAATTGTAGAGCAAGCTATTTACCATATTCTTGAAAAAATGGATTTTAAAATCTACCGTTAGTTGAAATTACGAGCCACCTCACTCGCGTAAGACACGACATCTACACCTAAGACACAAAATATCTGAGAGATCTAAGAAACTCAAGAATCTGACATACCCGTTGATCTGGTTAGTTGTCGTATTCCTAGCAAAGATGATTAACAGATCTGCAAAGGTGCTGTTTCCGATCCAACGTTTTTGTCCCTCAATTATCCAACCTCCTTCAACCTGATGAAGTAGACAATTTAAACAAGTAGAAAGATTGAAACACTCCAGTTGTTGAAGAAGTAGAGCAGGAACGGATACAAGCAAATGAAAACAAGGAGAGAAGCCAGCCACACCTTTTTGGCTGTTGTTCGTAGACCACTTGCATCACTTCCATTATCAGGCTCTGTCAACGCCTTCATACAAGTTCAATATACGAAATGGTATCAACATCAGCTTTACATAACACAAAGTTTTATTTAGGGATGCAAATAGTCTACGTTCAAGATCGAAGTACTCACCCAACAAGCCACAGTATTCAATTTCGCCAAAGAAGGCAAATACTTCTGTTTCTGTTCTTCTGATCCACAGAGTGCTATTCTTGACAAAATCAGAAGAAATTAAGCTTATGGATATCCTACGGTGTTTCTCACCAAAAATAGAAAATAAATACGAAACAAGCTAAGAGCTTTCTTTTAGTAGATCTCACCAATAGTAAGCATGCCCAAAGAAGAATGCACCAAAATGAAAGTCGAACAGCTTGCATCAACTCTAGCTATTTCTGCTGTTGCAATTGCATTAGCGGTGATGGAGAGGCCAGGACAGCCATAACCCTAAGAAGTCAGACAAAAAATTAATATTGAAATCAACATCTACATAATCAAAAAAGAAACCAGAGACAAGCATTGCAAATTACCTTGATCGAGCCACCAGCAACACCAATAGCCCCAAGCTTTGGAACGATATGGAACGGAAATTCTGCCTTTTCCCAGTACTGAGGAGTAAAAATCACCCAAAAAAAGAACAATAATGTAACACAATGATACCATCATTAGTAAACAAAACAAAATAAACATCTTGAACAGGAAGATAAACACCTCTGCCATGATCGGGGCAACTTCTTTCTCCATGCACTCCCTCACTCTCTTCCGTACGGCCTGTTCCTCCGGAGTCAATAGATCATTGAAATGATAATAGTCTGAAGCTGTAGCAGTATCAAGTATAGAAAAAACATATGAGGCCAAAGCACAACAAATCATCCAAATGTATTGTTTGGTAAGAAAACAAATAGATTGAATAATCCTTACTGCACGGTGGAAATGTCGAGGCTGGAGTTGCTTGAGGAAATGCTACAGATATGTCCATAGAAGGTAAATTAAAATATGAACTCTTCACCTTCTTCTCTGTGATTTCTGCAAGACCAAAACACATTCATAATCAAAATTCTCAACTCTAAAAACCAAAATTCATAGATAATCTCGTCTTTACTTCCTATATACTGTATATTACATAAGTTTCAGCAATCATGATCTGCAAATGAAACAGTTCGCGAATTGGAAATCGCAAAAGCCCCTGAAAATTCGCCATCTCCAAACTCACACGCAGAAGTGCAGAACACAATTCCATTGACGGAACCAACGATATTACTTGGTTGATCGGTGATCGACACATAAATCGTCAAAAACAAAGTAAAACTCGTCCATTTCTCGAGAATTGAACAAGACATTAATTAAAAAAAAAAAAAAAAAAAAGAAGATCAAACCAGAGAGCAAAAACAGCTGCAATCAGATGAAGAGTAAAACGAAACATGCAAACCATGAGAAAAAGGAATGAAGACTGTGAAGACGGTAACGAACCTCGATCTGCAGATGATAGCACAGTCATGGCGAGGATTGTAATTGAAAATTTTATTTGGCTTCTTCGTGTTGGAACGAAAGTCGATACAAGGAGATAGAATGAATTATAATATGCAAGACCCGACCCGGTTACGTGTTTAATTTTTTTGTTTTAAGATAAGATCTTTTGTCTGTTTTTGTTCAAAAGATAAGACTTTTTTTTTTTCATAGAAGTTATCGATTCCATTTTAAAGTTATTCTTAAGCAATGTATTGATAGTTTTTGTTTCTTTGATTGAGAATAATGTAGTCGACTGAAATTGATAAATATTTTTTTTTCAAAAAAGGGTTATCAACTAAACACAATGTATTTTTTAAATAATTTTTGTTTGCTTCTGTTAAAAAATGTGGTTTTAATGTTAAGATGTTGTACCTTTTTCAAATATATACAACCTAATCTACTCACTGAAACCTAAAAAAAACATAATGTTTGACATACAGGAAACGATTACAATTAGAAAAATAGAACGAAATTTTTTGATAAAAGTAATAGATAGATGTTACGTACAGGCCCCGTCTTTTAGGTGACAAATGACAACAGCACTTAATAATTATGAACAATAGAGACAGATAGTGAAATATTTGGAACTTTTAGCCGTAGAATTAGAAACGATATCAAACACTCAGACAAATCGTGTCGTTTAACGTTCCATTGTTACTTTCAACCACAGCAATGCCAATGAACATACATTGTTGCTATTCGTTTGTCGTCATCGCATGAAGATGGAAGGTCTGAAAATTAATTTGTAAGAGAATAAAAGACTTGCGAATTCTTTAGCCAAAAGAGCCATCATTTTTGGCTCATTTTCTCGAACTGAATTTCATATTCTTTTTAAATAGGTTAATCCACTTAGATTTATATGTTTTTGTTTGTTTTACAAGGACTAGTTGTTCCTTGGATGTATACAAGACATTCAACTTTTGTTGGACACATGTGTTTTTTTTTTTGCCACTTCATCACCTTTATATTGTAGTTTGTACGTATTAATTTTGGGTTTCGATATAAGATCATCCGCGTATATTTTTTAATATATAATTAAGAAAGGTGGTTTGATAATTAAGAAAGGAGTAATAGATAATAATTCAGGAAAAATTACATCTTTATTGTAACATGTGTTTGAACTCAAACTTGATCTACCACCCATAAATTTAATGGGCTAAGCTTTTTGAGTTGTCTATTATATATATCAGTATATCACTGTGATTTGTAAACTACTGGCTTATACTTGTTGTGTTCACCGTATCATAATCTGAAATTAATTTTGGAAGTGTGCATGTGTGAGTTGTAAACAAGATTGTACTGAAATATACATATATAGACAAGCAATCATTTCCAACAGTTAAAATTCTAACATACTTTACATTTGATATAGAATTGAGCTCGTACTTAAATATCCATCAACATAAACTCAACTTTATTGCCAAGCTAATGGCCGGCACATGAAAAGAATAAAATTATAAATTCATATACGAGTGCATCCATTTTGAAACCTTGTTTTTGTAGCATACTTGAGTTTATTATTTAGATGGCCCATCATGCTATGCTTTCTCTTTCGCTTATACCATATACTTCGCGACAATTGAGGAAAAGACAAGCCCAACACATTTTACTTTAACAAAAAAAACTCATCAAACTCTACTTCTTTTTCATATAATTAAAAAGGTGTGTTCGTAATTTTTATTTTTTATATAAATCCATTATCGACCTTGTGTGTGTCCCGATAAATCTTGCCTTTTAAGTTCTTTGACTACCAAAATTTTTTAGAGTTGTAATAATTATCATTGACCAATTGTGTCTGTATTCTCTTAAATTAAGAAAGACAATATGATGTAACGCTCCGGGTGGATAGCTTAGGAAAGCGGTCAAGCTATGAATATCGACGGATTTATGAGGATTCGCTGTTGTGAAAGAATATTTTTGTTATAAATTTAATGGATTTTGTCAGTCAATTATGAGTGAATAGGTTGCAAGTTTGGTAGAAGACACTACACACAAAAAAGTGATGAGCTAATAATATCAAAAGTTACACGTTGTTCAAGAGATTCGTCAACACACTCGAAAACCAGTTGAAACCTATATTTCTTGTTTCCTTTTTTTAGAACTACCTATACTTCATATTTCAAATCAAGATCATCAAATTTCTAGGTAGTAAATCTTATACGTTGTAGTAGTATTGGTCCATTGCTAAAAAGGAAACGAATAGAATTCTCAAATAAAATCCTAGAAAATGATACAAGGGTTAAACAAATCAATAGCTTGTTGGGTTTGATCTTTTGGACGTAAAAAAAGAAATGAAAAGAAGATGGCCGTTGTAAGTTGATCTCTTCGGAGGACAGCTTCTCTTTATTCATGGTATAAATCCTTGGTGATATATATGTGTTAAAAAAAAAAAGTGTTAACGCATTTCAGACTAGACAAATAAGTTAACTAGATATGTTGTGGTAGGTGTGAATGCATGTCCACATTTTGAAATTTGGTTGGTTACATTGGGTCAAATGTGAACGCATCATTGGTGCTTCAGATCTAGTAAAAAGACGTTTGTAGCTTCTCAAAATATTTCTCTGATCCACACTCTATCAAATAATTAAGATATGTGGCCGTTGCAATAAGTTTTAGTGCTCTACGCATCTTTTGTTGGTTGGTGATTTCCAGATATGGCAAGTTAAGTAGACATTGGTTTGCTCTCCAAAGCACCCATTTCGGTTTCCACATACCGAAACTTTAAGGGTCCATGATCTTTGGTTCCGAACCACGGGCTTCTCTTTGCGTTTTGGACATCAGTTTATTCATCTTACACGAGAGTCGTGTGTCGTCCTATCTAGAACACGTTACAGAAATCCTTAGCAGAACACATATATTTACATTATACAAAAAAAAAAAATTTAAATAGAGCATGTGTTACATAATTTATCTGACTAAAAACAGAACATACATGCGTTATACTAAGGTTTATTGCAAAACTATTATGCGTGCAGGACATAAAGCCTCACAAGACTTTTAGTTTTGAAAACCGTGATTGTGTTATATTACTCGGTACAAAAAAATCTATCGAAGAAAAGTAGTAACAGATTTATAGACGAGTGTAATAAAACGCATGATATATATACCATACTTGCTGTGGATCAATGGCTGTGGCTCTCCAGAAAGTAAGTAATACTCAAATTAATGTTTTTTATTCAAATTTCAAAAATTTTAATGCAAAGCATTTATATATAAAAAGATTTTTTTTCCTCAAAGGCCAAACAAAAAATCAATGATAAATTTTTAAATTAAATGATAAAGTCCGGTTCGAACTTTTTGCGTAAAATACCACACGATCGTTTCGAACACCATAAACTTTGCTATATATATTGTCACCTAGTGGCTAGTGCTAGGCTCTTTTTGTAACCACTTACCATAGCATGTTGGCTTGCATAGCTATTTTGAATCGCCTTTCTATTTTTTTGGACTAGGATTTGCCCTTTGTATTTGATTTTTTTATCGGTTTTGATAAAACAAATACTTGATTTATAGTGCATGGGCATGTTTTGACTAATATATTTTTTCCTATTATTTTTTTCATAAAAGTTGTTCGGGTGAATTTTTGGAATGTTATAAAATTCGCGAAACTGTTGGGTAAGCTTCAAGGATTAAGAAGACTTATAATTAGCACCAAAAGCAAAGACGATCAAGATTTATTTTATTAGGGAAAAATGTATATATTTTTTAGAGAATGTTATCCTGAGATTTTCTTCGAAAAATTTGTTATGCAACCAAAAATTCGTCAATGATATTTTTGGATGATGTATCATAGACAATGTTCTAAAAGTCGGTCTAAGCGGCGCTAGACATTTGTAGACCGCCTGCCTAAGTGTTAGGCGTTCATTGACGGTAACGGTTACTTCCTAAACGTATTTTATATTTGATATTTATAAATTTTTATTTGTTTTTTTATGTATATTTAGAATTTTAAATATATATTTAAGATTTTTAATATGTAAATGTTATTATTTATAAACAAATCGTATAATTTTATATATTGCACTCTATAAAATATATAATAAATTAATTTATTTTATAATCGCCTAAAACGTTTAAAAATCGCCTAGTTGGAAACTAGGCGTTATAAGACCGTTCTAAACGTTAGGTGGTGTATTAGCGCTACCACTTTCTTGAACATTGATCGTAATCTCTATTTTAGGAAATGGAAAATTACTGTCACTAGTAATATTATTATTTTTTTTGGACGTATTAGTTTCTCAGAATATATATGGGAATTTAGATGTTAAATAAATCCAATAAAGTGTTGATTTACCAAACAAGTAAAGACCGTTTTTCAAAAAGAAAAAGAAAGCAAGGAGACCAAATTATGATTGAAGTTTTAAAAAGATAGAAAAATATCAGTTGAAAAAAGAAAAAAAATAAATAAATATCAAAAAACTCAGAAAAGGAGAGAGAGAGAAAGACCTCTAGCTGCTCATCTTCACCGTACGCTTCTTCGATCTATGCTTCTCTCTCTCTTTCTCTTTATCTCCCTCTCTAGCTACCTTTCACAGATTCCATTGTTACAATTCTTTCCAAAGGCTAGAATGTGGAACCCTAGAGTAGCTCAATTTAGTTAAAAGCTTTGCAGAGATCTGTCTCCTTTTTTCATTTTTTGCTGTATACTTCTACTTTTGTAGCCATAAGAGCTTTGAAGCTCTAAGCTACAAAGTGATGGGGAACTGTTGCAGATCTCCGGCTGCTGTTGCTAGAGAAGACGTGAAATCGAATTATTCCGGCCACGATCACGGCCGTAAAGACGCCGGCGGTGGTAAAAAATCAACGCCGATTCGAGTCCTAAGCGATGTTCCCAAGGAGAATATCGATGACCGGTACTTGCTCGACCGAGAGCTCGGCCGCGGCGAGTTCGGCGTCACTTACCTCTGTATCGAGAGGTCGAATCGCGACCTCCTCGCCTGCAAGTCGATCTCGAAGCGGAAGCTCAGGACTGCCGTGGATATCGACGACGTGAGGAGGGAAGTGGCGATTATGAAGCATCTGCCCAAGAGCTCGAGCATTGTTACTCTCAAGGAGGCTTGTGAGGATGATAATGCGGTGCATTTGGTGATGGAGCTCTGTGAAGGCGGTGAGCTTTTCGATCGGATTGTTGCTCGAGGGCATTACACGGAGCGCGCCGCCGCGGGAGTCACCAAGACAATCGTCGAGGTCGTGCAACTCTGCCACAAGCACGGCGTCATTCATAGAGATTTGAAGCCTGAGAATTTTTTGTTCGCCAACAAGAAGGAGAACTCGCCGCTTAAAGCCATTGATTTTGGATTGTCGATTTTCTTCAAGCCAGGTATGTCACTGCGTCGTTGAGTCTTCTTTTGAAAGTAGATTTATGGTCTTAGTAAAAAAATTAGACTTCAACTAATTTTTGGGTGAGTTTTGCATTAGATTCAGAAAGTTATAGATGTTGCCATATCTTACGAGGTTGGTTCCTGGATAAGTCCAAGAACTTGATGTTCTAGGTTTAAGCTGCTTCTACGAATTACGGTCACGGTCTCAAATCTCAACATATGAGGGATTTAGATTCTACAATCCTCTAGCTTTGGGATGTTTCTAAATACAAGCTTGGAACTGATTATCAGTTGTATTACAGTGGATTACTTGGTCATAGAGGGAGCTTCTTGTTTTTGCAGGCCTCATGTTTCTTGATTGATACCTTAGATGCACCTTGTCCAGTTTAACTGTCGTTGACACGATTTTCTTATAATGCTTACACACATACAGGTGAGAAGTTCTCCGAGATAGTTGGGAGTCCATACTACATGGCACCTGAGGTGCTAAAGCGGAACTATGGACCCGAAATAGATATTTGGAGTGCTGGAGTGATTCTTTATATTCTGTTGTGTGGGGTTCCCCCATTCTGGGCAGGTCTGCTTACACCTTCCTCGCTTCTTTTATTCTCTCGATAAGACGATAATCTCTGCCTGAGCATTTGCTTACTGATTCTCCGTAGTTTAAGTCAAAATGTTTTCTTTTCAACCACAGAGTCGGAACAAGGAGTTGCTCAGGCTATTCTGCGCGGGATAATTGATTTTAAGAGGGAACCGTGGCCAAACATTTCTGAGACCGCTAAAAGTCTAGTCAGACAAATGTTAGAGCCTGATCCGAAACGTCGGCTGACTGCAAAGCAAGTGCTTGGTACATTGACTCTACCTTTATCCTCTGCTCTTACTCTCTCCTTCTGCTACAATGTCTTTGCCCAATCTCATTGATCTTGAGATACTCCAAAAGATTTTTTACGCTTATTCCTAATTGTGATGACATTTCTCATTTTCTAGAGCACCCATGGATTCAGAACGCAAAGAAAGCTCCAAATGTTCCTCTTGGAGATGTTGTGAAGTCCAGGTTAAAGCAATTTTCAGTGATGAACAGATTCAAGAGAAAAGCTTTGAGGGTTCGTTAATTAGATAAGCTTTCACTGTCAGTTCTTTGCATGAGTCACTTCTAAAACCAAAGTCATCTTACTTAATCTTATTCTAACCAGGTTATTGCCGAATTCTTATCTACCCAAGAAGTAGAAGACATCAAAGAAATGTTCAGCAAAATGGATACGGATAATGATGGTATTGTTACCATCGAGGAGTTGAAAGCTGGTCTTCGCGATTTTGGTACACAGCTAGCGGAATCAGAAGTTCAGATGCTTATTGAAGCGGTGCGTATATTTTTCCCCTTTTACATCACAATGTTTGTTATTATTGATTGCTTGACTGAATAAGTAGAGTCGAACTACCTTGCATGATCCTGTCCTTCAAAATTTTCAGTGATTTTTGCTGGTACACGTAACGCTATCCAATTTCACTTAATTATGGTATTCGTATTTCAAATTTGTATAAAACAGGTGGATACTAAAGGGAAAGGAACACTAGATTATGGGGAATTTGTTGCAGTCTCGCTCCACCTGCAAAAGGTAGCAAACGATGAGCATCTCCGCAGAGCATTCTCGTACTTTGACAAGGATGGAAATGGGTACATTTTGCCCCAGGAGCTTTGTGACGCCTTAAAGGAAGATGGAGGGGATGACTGCGTGGATGTCGCCAATGATATATTCCAAGAAGTTGACACGGACAAGGTAAATGTCAAATCTTCTATGCATGGTATGATCTCTCATGTTCAAAAGATCTTTCTTTTGCAAGACTATCAGCAAACCAAAGTTTTGAGGGAAAGGTGACTTTAAATCTCTTTTTGCGCTATTTGTTTGGTATCAAACCATTTGAAATTACAATCGTACAAATAGGTAATGGAAATATGCTTTGCACAAGCTTTTTAAAGTCTGCGAGGACAAAAAGTGTAGCTTTAATCACTTTTTTTCCCCTTTTCGCCTTTGTCTGTTGTGTAAGCGGTCCCCATAAACTAAAGCAAAAATGATTTCTATGTTGAATGTGGTGGAAGTGCTTTGTGTAGAGAGTTCACTTCTCATGTCGTTGAATAGTTATTGTGTAGAAGATGTTTCTTCTGATTTATGCCTGACATGTATTATTGACATTAGGATGGGAGAATAAGCTACGAAGAGTTTGCGGCAATGATGAAAACAGGAACGGATTGGAGAAAGGCATCTCGTCATTACTCGAGAGGGAGATTCAATAGCCTAAGCATCAAGCTAATGAAGGACGGATCTTTGAACCTAGGCAACGAATAGCGAACAAAGTAAAGAAGCCGCATTAGGGTTTTTTTGTGTGTTTGTCTCTCTCACGACACGTCCTCGTTCACGTCAAGTATTAAGCCAAGAGAAGGTAAACATCTTGGGGACTCAGAATTCAATCTTTTTTTGTAAATCTTTCGTTTTTCTATTTTTGGTGATTTATTTTATCTGTGTCCTCTTTTATTGGTTTGTGGGCTGAGTTGTGTTTGTTTAGTTTGTTGTGGTAGAGGGCAAAAAACACGAGAATCAATGTTTGATGTGTAGAAGAAAAAAAAAACAAAGACCTTTCTGGTAATGATGATGTAATATTCTTTCGTTTTTCTTAATCTTTTCAATGATGTGAATCATTTACAACTCCTCAATTTGCTCAGAACAGGTAAGTCAAATGACTCCGAATATGAATGTAGATTTGTTTTATAACCTAAAAGGCTAAAAGTAAGAGTACACCATCTTAAGAGTAATTAAACTTAAGAGTACATCATCTCTAAGTAGTTTTTTCATATAGGTTATTGATTATGAGGCTGATTTTAATCTAAACACGAAAGCTACATAGTACCTACTTTCCTTATCTCAGCTCTTAGAGCATCAACATCACTGACTACAACAGCAAACCCCTGCATTATTTGCTGGATCTGGAATACTCCAACCAACTCCATAATGAGCCTTTTTTTTTATTATTGGAGATGAATCGCTCATCTTATAGGAACAACGTAGCCACAAAAGGCAATTGCTTAAGTTGGCAGTAATAAGAACCCTACTGGAATCATTTCAACAAGATTTGAGCTCTAAGATCCAATTCAGAGAAAAGACTGATAAAAAAACGAGATTTCAAATCATAGTGGATTTTATAGGAGTGGACATTTGTATTCATTTATTCAAGGGGATCGATAATTTTAATATTTAATTTAAGACTGTTAGTTTAAAACTGGTGTTATTCAATCAGCACAGGCTAAAGTATATAATAAATCTTCAAAGTTTACTATTGTAAAAAAAAAAAAATCTTAGATGAATCATTCATAACTAAAATCTTTAATGAAATTTTTGACATATTAAAAAGTAAATTAAAAAATGCATAATCCTAAGATTTACATGTCAAATCAGCATATAAGGGGAGAATGAAGCATGCCTACTTAATTTCTTCTAACCATTTCCGAACCTCTTTTCTTAAGTTTCAGACAAAAGTTTCAACATTTTAAGTAATTTTTATTTTTTGTTTCTTTTTGGAACGTGACTTATTTTATCATACATATATCAATTTGATTTTACTTCTTCTGAATTACAACAAAATATCGAGTTATTTTACTATTTTAAAATACAAATTCATAATATTGCCCTTAAAACATTATATATTGAATGAATAGATTGAATATATGATGTACGTACGAACTTTAGAAAAAAAATCTAATAATCTTTTTAAAACACTATTCTGTAAACCCAACATGGTCGGATATATAAAAAGTAAGTGCAGATGAATTATCTATGAAACACAAAACTCCAAGCTTGAGTTAATCATTCTCAAAGCTCTTATGTCCCCCACCCAATAAAAAAAAAATTATTCATTAGAAACCTAAAAACACAAAGTAGAAAAAGAGTTACAAGAAGAAGATATCGACTGAAGTGGGCACCTTGAGAAACAGAGATGCCAACTCAAAGACACATGTGTCCTGTACGAATGGTAATGTACTATGTTATTAATTATTCCGGAAAGCTCCACAACTCTCTATTCATTTTGGAATTTTCCCCAGTATCTCGTTTTGGCTCGGTGCGACTTACGTATGGGAAACAAATCGATGAAAGGCATATAGATTACACAATTAAAAAGTCAAGAGAATGATTTGAAGTTGTGTATCGACAAAAAAAAAACAAAGATATATTTGTAAGCGTATGGAGATAGGAAACTTCGAGGAAGGCAACTATTTGAGAATAGAGTCTATATGTACTTTACGCATGCATGTGAACAGACCATCTCTGGATAATATTTACTAGAATTATGTCAATTGTCCCTAATAGTTACGTGAAATCCCTAAACAAATTAAGTAATATACATTTCCTGGAAGGCTGGAACCGAACTCTACATATCTAGACTCCTCCTTCACCATTACGGCATTACCTATATATTTTGAGTTAATTAATAATCGAAGAGCCAACGAAAAGTACAGCACGTTGTTCTATTTTTGGAGTTTGATAGACCAACTTTCGGTAAGAATATGGTGACCATCGTGGTATGGATGATGGCCAATGCTTAACAAGTTACAACTACATTATTTCTGGAGTCACGTGTTATGATTTATAGCGATTGCAATTATTGGCTAATATAGGCCCCATAATTCGTACGTAGAATTCCGCGATAATGGATATTCCCTTTTTATTCCATTTCCCTTGCCAAATCGCTAACTACTGTACAGCCTGATTTGAAAGAAAAAAATAACACTTTCTTATCTCATAATTATAAACATAAGTACGTATTGAGCTGATAGGTTTGTATTAGTGTGTCAATTATATTATCTATTGGAAATGTGTTACTATAGATTGTTAACCAAAAACATTATATACTGTATATATATATATATATTGCTTTTATGATTGCTGAGATTATTGATTATTTATTTTATTTAAAAAATGTAGGAGAAAGATACATATAAGATATAGCTCTTATAGTCTAATTATGTGTTAGAAAAAAAACACCCCATTCATCTGAAAAAAAAAACATCCCACTTTGATTTAAAATTATTTAGCTGCAAATCTATTCAATTCAGTGGGATTTCAAAGTTATAAATCGAACAACCGATGATTTTTAACCAAATAAATAGAAGATTACAAGCCTTTCTTAAACTAGTTTTCAAAACTTTCAACGTATTTTTGATTACTTGATTTCTTTTTGTTAATCAAGCAATGCCAATGCCATAAAAGTAAAGATAATATTTTCTTACAAAAAATGCCGGCAATGGGCAATAGCATAATAACAATAGCAATTGAGGTACTTAAATACTCACTTTCAATTTCAAACTTCCAAATTGACGAAAAGAAACTTTCATACCATTAAGTCCTACCTGAATGAGAAACTGACCAAAAAAAGAAAATGAGAAAATAGCCGCATCTCGCTTTTATTTTGTTTCTCGTTCATAAAACTGCCGCTTCGAAAAGCCAAAGGCAAAGCGTTAGATTCGTACGACTAAAAGTGATAACGAGTGATAGCTACTGCTAACCACAATTTGAGCCCCTACAACTTTGCAACTTTTCAATTGGAACACTCTTGAAGTACACGTGAAGTGTACAACACCACCTTCTGTTTTTTCATGTCTTATTAATAAGTAAGCATATCATACCTTAAACGTAACACACTATTCATATGATCAATTAATGTCAAAAATATTATATTCAACGTTTTAAAACTATCGAACCAAATCAATTAAGAACCTTAATATTTTAAAGCATGATTAGCTATAAACATTTATAAGTTCATTACACATGATCTTCAAACAATTATACGTAAATATTAATCAAAGAAATAATGAACTCAATTAATATCTTAAGCTAAAGAATCATGTCAAAATGATCACAATCTAACTTCCATTAATACTGCGTTTAAGCATACATTAAGGGTGTGAATGGTTGTTATTCTAAAGGAACAAAATTGGAGGAAATAATGTGTTACTATATATTCCTCCCAAATATTACCATTATTATTGGAATAAAAATGGTGGACAAAAAATTCCACTCATTCTGCACTAACTCCTGGGCATTCGGGTCTGCGGTTCGGGTCGGTTCGGATTTTTCGGGTTTCAAGTTTTTCGGTTAGATGAGAATTGGACCCATATGGGTTTTGAGAAAATTTCGGTTCGGTTCAGTTCGGGTCTTTTCGAGTTCGGGTCGGTTCCTTGATTTTAAATTAGAACCGATGTAGAATCAAAATTTTCTTCGGTTCAATTCGGATAGAGTTTTAACCCGAAAACCCGAATTAACCAGTTCAATTGAGCTTTTTTTTTTATTCTGATGTGCAAACCTTCTCATCTTCCGCCGAAGCGCCGTCCTACAATCAAAAGAATCAGACGGGCGTCATATCATCGGCACCAGACTCGTTGGTTTAGTCGCTGCGACTCGGCTCACCTCTGAAGAAATCCCTTTCCTACTCTTTGAAACTTTCGATGGTGGAGGCGTCCACACAGATCCGGATGATAGAAGATGAGGAAGGAGAAGAAAGAGATGAGGACGAAGTTGATATGAAAGAAGAAACAGGTGAGAAGGAGAAGAAAGAGATGAGATGATAGAAGATTATAAGAGAATTAGAAGAGATGTAGAAGAAGATGTAGACGAAGAGATGAGGAAGAAGTTCATCTTTTCACGATTAAAAAAAAAAGTGGAAGAAAACAATACAATAAACAAAATAATCTGTAGATTGTTTGTCAATGGGCTTAAAAACAAAAACAAAATAGATAACATGCCCAGCTTTATTCTACCAAATTGATTATTAAACCAAAAACAAAATAAAAATGTTTAATGTGTTTCGGGTTATTTAGGACCCGAATGGTTCTCGGATTTTACCCGAACCGAACCGAAGCCCGAATTATATTTGAAGAGGAACCATTCAGTTTTTAGAGAAGAACCGAATCCGAACCAAACTGCATTTTTCGGGTCGGGTCAGTTCGGGTTCTTTTGGATCGGGTTTTATGCCCAGGGCTAAATTTCTGCTGGAGGAAGATGAAAAATTGAACAAATTTTAAAGGAGTATGTTCTTCTACTAAATTGGAGAGGACAAAGTGGAATACAATTTGCCTCTAATTTCTATATTCCACTCATTAATTTTCCACTATATTCCTCCCATGACAACCCTAATTAATATATATCAATAATCATTTCTCTTAAAATTATAAGCCCTGAATATACATCCAAATTCATATATTTGCAAGACAAGAATGTTAATAGAGAGAGAAAGAATTGGGTACAGTATAATGAACTATATATAACAGAATTCGAAGATAATACACCCTTAAATTTTCTAAAATATGGTCTGTAAACCTCTAAAACAACATTAAACAAAGAAAAGCATCTAATGGGTATGCTAAGCAAGTTCACCCTGACAACCTTTTTTTATATCTCCATAGTGAAATGTGGTTTGTTTTAGAAGAGTGGACGGTTATATATGCAAATACAAAAATACTGTAGTACCTAAAATATATACGTGATCGTTTTAGTCGTAATTAACCACATGCATGAACAGTCACACCGATTGCCATATATTTATTTAAAATATAGTTTTTACTTAGAATATACTTTGTTCATGCATGTATAAATTATATATAAAAACGATCGGAAGCTTGGCGAGATTTTTACACACATATATATAATATATCGGTGAGAAATGAAATGCAGACGCAGTTTTTCTTATAGTAGAATGGCATGTTTCTAAAAAAAAAAAGAATGGAAAGATTCTCCATGCACGTGTCAATGAGGATTGCAAATCACATGTTCAAGCACAATGGAATACTATATCTGTATATAGACTATTCACTAGAGAATATAGATCCACATCTTAAAAAATGATGAAGAATAATTAAATGTTAGAAATTAACAGCAGTCTGATTAAACCAGAAATGTCGTTCACAATGATTTACTATTATATTTAATTTTAGTACAAAAAAGCCGTCTATACACGAGATCTATAAAATAGATTGTTCTAGAAAAGATTCCTGAAATAACACATATGATCATATCAATGTCGAGATAACAAATAATTTAATCGCGCAGGTCACTTATACTAGTGGCGACCTATTTACCTCCAGTTTCTCGACCAGACACACAAGTTCACTTTCTTAAACTCAAGTAAGAGCTGAGCACAACACACTTGCATAAAATTATAAAATTATTAGAATGAAAAAATTCGTAAACTAAATAATTAAAAGAAAATCATGAAACAGTTGAATAACAAAAAGCTAATACTTGATAGATGAATAAATTTTTGTCTAATCTAATTATAAAATTAAAATGTGCAGAATAAATTGAAAAATCACTTGTCAATTTTTTTTTAAGAGTACTCGACAGAATGTTACATTTTCAAAAGTACTTTAACAATATAAAAAATATATACTATCCAAGTTCTGTAGAAAATGTGAAAAACTTGTAAATATTTATGAATACATTATATATATATTGAGTTAAAAATTTTAAATTCATTCTATTTTAGTATTTTTGAGGTGAAGTGTCTTAAAATATGTTGTTGTTTAACATTTATCGTATATTTGTACCTCGTCAATTTATAAAATAACTACAGTTCTTCCTAATTAAAACAATGGTATGCTATTTTTCTAGTCATCCGATCTAATTTTGTGTCATCTCCCTAACTACTAGTTGACTCAAAACAAACTTCCCAAAAAAGATACGTAATTCAACTAAACGCAAATCTACCAAAATCGTATTTCTGTCAATACAATTATACAAAGCAAAAACCTACCATAAACTTAATTATAAAAACAAAAAGAGAGGAAACTTCCGGGAAGTTGCATGAGTGGACCCAACTTGAATCACAGAATCGCCACCTATATATACAGAATCTGACACAACACACACAGATGGAGATTCAAAAGTATTAAGCTATGGGGAGTATCGTTGAGCCATGGGCAATCGCGGAGAGCGGAAACGCAAACGCAAACGCGACCGCCAAGGGTTTGAGCAGAGAGCTGCGACATGGGAGAACGGCGCACAACATGTCGTCATCGTCTCTTAGGAAGAAATCAGACCTGAGACTGATTCAGAAGGTCCCATGCAAAACTCTCAAGAACATTCTCTCAAATCTCCAAGAAGTCATTCTTGGTACTAAGCTCACTGTCCTCTTTCTCGCCATTCCTCTCGCCATAATCGCCAAGTCTTACCACTACGGTCGCGTAAGCTCTCTCTCTCAAATTTGGTGAATTTTGCTAGATAGATTAGGCAATTCTTGTTCAGTATCCCAAAGTGATTAATTAGTTGAAGGGAGTGAGAATTTTCCCAACCAATATTAAGGATTATTTATCTACATGTAAGACATAATTTTTGTTAAGTTTTTAGATTTAATTTTCACAAGTATATTTATTATATCTGAATAGTACTAGCAAAATCACTTGTTATTCTATGGCGTTAAAGCAAAGCTTCTATCGGAGTATCATACATCTGTCGAGGAGTAATAAATGGTTTCTCTCGGGAAAACATTATCTACGCTCTATATTTTGTAATACTGTCTGTATCTACTTATGCCTAAATCCCGTGATTAATTTTATGGTTAAATAATAATTGGTTTCTTTGTTTGTATTACGCCACGTAATTATGCGTTACCTATATTTAGTGCGTGGTTTTGGAAAAAGGATAAAGATAGGTTTATTTATTTCTAAAATATTATTCTTTTGTAAAATTAAATGTATGTGACAGCCGTTGATATTTGGACTGAGCTTGATAGGGCTGACACCTCTAGCTGAGCGAGTTAGCTTTTTGACAGAGTAAGTACTAATCGTCCCGTTGTCAAAAAAAAAAAAAGTACTTATCGTCCCACATAATCTATATAGTATATACAGTCCTTATAACGTAAAATATGTGGCATATGTTTTGGCTGCAAATGGTTTCCTTTTGGGGGAAAACCCGTTAAGAAATAAAGTATTACAGAAAAAAATTATGATATTATTCAAATTTTAAACTATTAGTGATATTTTTTTTTTAAAGTATCTATTTTAAACTTTATACTTTGTTTTAAAATTTTATTCAACACTTCATTATTTATTTCCTATTACTGATCAAGGAATACTTTAAATATTTTATCACGTTTTCCTCTAGCATCAAACTAATTAAAATTTGGTATCATTTCAGAATTACGTATTGTTGGTGAAAATCACTTTTTAAGATTCTGTTAAAGTTTCAAGCCGATGTTAAAAAGCCAATGATTCAGCTTCTTTGACAAAGAAAACTACAGTGTGGATAAAAAAAGATACGAATTATCTCAATAAGCCAAAATAAATTTTTAGTTACAATTTTATACAACCAAATATCACATACGATTAGCATAGACATGATCGGTTTGCCTTAACTCGCGCAGGCAACTAGCTTTCTACACGGGTCCAACAGGTAACGGAGTTTCATACTAATAAATTACTCAATCATGTAAATGTAATCAACAACGTCGCTTACATCATGTTTCTATGTGTTTGTTTTCTTGGCAGTGGGCGGTTTGTTGAACGCGACTTGTGGAAACGCGACGGAGCTGATAATCGCGATACTAGCGTTGGCTAATAACAAAGTAGCAGTGGTGAAATACTCTCTGTTGGGTTCAATTCTCTCAAACCTTCTCTTGGTTCTCGGCTCCTCCCTCTTCTGTGGTGGTATCGCCAATATTCGCCGTGAGCAGCGGTTCGACCGGGTATATATGCCTTCCCTTTTGCACCATCTGGTTTAATTCTTATGGTAATTTTACATAACCAAACCGGATAAACATGCATACAATTGCATTCGGGACTAAACCAAACCAGTACCGATTTATATAAATTCAGGTTTACTTCACTTGAACCGGATAAAAATCATTCTCCGCGGTTATCAAAGCTGGTAGGAGTTTTGTTAATGAGATGTTTCTCTTCTCAATGTTACAGAAACAAGCGGATGTGAACTTCTTCTTGCTGCTTATGGGTTTGCTGTGTCATTTGCTGCCATTGTTGTTAAAATATGCAGCAACTGGAGAAGCATCAACCTCTCTGATTAACAAAATGTCGCTTAGTCTTTCACGGACAAGCAGCATCGTTATGCTTATCGCTTACATTGCTTATCTCATCTTCCAGCTTTGGACTCACCGCCAATTGTTTGAAGCACAAGAGGTAACGAAACGTTACATGTTTATACTGGATCTTGCTTTCCAAGTTATCTCGAGTAGTTTATGTAGTTTAATGGGTTTCATTTTTTTTTTTTGGTGAATTGAATATAATGGGTATAAATGATGTGACTGTATTATTTTCAAATGGGATTCAGGACGATTATGATGATGCGTATGATGATGAGGTGACTGTTGAAGAAACTCCGGTGATAGGATTTTGGAGCGGATTTGCTTGGCTTGTTGGGATGACACTCGTCATCGCATTGCTATCAGAGTATGTTGTAGCCACGATCGAGGTAATTAATTAAGTTGATATATTTAAATTCCTTGATTTGAAACAAATACTCACAATATTAATTATATGGAGGTTTACAAATCTTGGTCAGGATGCATCGGACTCATGGGGATTATCAGTGAGTTTCATAAGCATCATATTGCTTCCTATTGTTGGAAATGCGGCTGAGCACGCTGGTGCCATCATTTTCGCATTCAAGAACAAGCTCGTGAGTTTCCTCTTTTTTTTTTTACATGCCTTCTATTGTTTGTTTGGGTTTGTGTTTTTTTTTTCTTAAATGTTTAGGGTGCATTTTTTTTTTCTTTTCCAAATTCAACTATAAAGAAGAAACAACTTTGTTTTGTTGCAATAAAAATAAGTTCTTATAAAACTTTCACACGTAAATGCAATCGGGTAAGACCTAAATGGAGCACCTCTTTATGTCGAATGGTCATAACGGCAGGACATATCTCTAGGGGTCGCGTTGGGCTCTGCAACTCAGATATCTTTGTTCGTGGTAAGTTCTTAATTATTATGTTAATATCTGAAAGATTCAATGAAATGTTGAGTGCATTATAACAAATTTAAGACGATAATTTGTGGGTTTCCTCAGGTTCCACTGAGTGTTATCGTTGCGTGGATTATGGGAATCAAAATGGATCTCAACTTTAACATTCTTGAAACAAGCTCTCTAGCTTTGGCCATTATCATCACAGCCTTCACTTTACAGGTAATATAAATATATGGTTCATTCGTTTGAGTTTAACTTTCATTAATTTCAGCTTATTTGGTTTGGTCACATACTTACATCAAAATCATTTTTGGTAAACATATTTTGGTTTTATTTCAGTTTTAAAGTATTTTGGTTTGGTTCAATTTGATTTATATGCTTATCCCTGTAATTAATCTATCATCCGTTTGTTTTTGGGGGTGGTTAGGATGGAACTTCTCATTACATGAAGGGATTGGTTCTATTGTTGTGCTATGTCATCATTGCCGCCTGTTTCTTCGTCGACCAAATTCCTCAGAGTAAGCAACTTAGTAAACCAACTAATATATAAATTTCTAATGAAAATGGCCAAAATGTATAATGCTACTTTTGTGTTTCACCCAACAAACCAGATGGTGCTATCGTGGGAGTTCAACACAGGAACATTGCAGGAGGAGGATTTTTCTCAACTTAAAATGGAGAACAAATTATCATCAAATGACTTTTTGTAAGAAAAACAACAACAAAAATGGCAGAAATTAGCAAATATGATTTGATTGAATCACCATCCAAAAACGGAGAGAGAGAGAGACTTGTTAGAGAGATTCCTCAGTATGAAATAGGGAGGGAACTTGATGAAGACAGGTTTTTGATGTTTTAAGTAAGTTACATTTCTTTCTTTCTTTCTTTTGTTTGTTGGCATTTTATGTTGTATATTTTATATATATGTTCTTTTAGTGAGTGATATGAATAAAGGCTATTTTCTCATTTTCTGGTAAAGCTATAAAAGGGATGAGCTGGGTTTGTCATAAACCAACTGAGGTTAAAGAATTCATTTTGTTTGTTGAACAGTTATGGTTCTAATTCTGTCATATGGATTCATGTTTTCACAAGTTCCAACCTTTTTTTTTATTATAACCAAATAGATACAAATACTTTTGGTTATTGATTCTTACAAAAAGAATAGTTATCTTGTGTGTGTTATTCGAACAAAATAAAATCTATACAAATTATGGTATTTAATAAAAAATAAATATATCAAAATTTCATCTATAAAATCTATAAGACATATACAAACTACATAAAAAAAGGATTTACAAACTACATTAAAAAAAGGATATAAAAGATATAAAAGCACATCCTCATAGTCTTTTATGAGAAGCCCATAAAGCCCAATGTAATGCTCGAGCCCTAATGTATTCGCGCCAGTTGACGGAAATACAGAGCGGCCATTTCTATTTCTTTATTGTTGTTTTTTGAAACAAACCTTCGCCTTATCTCTTTTCCCTCTTAACCATGGAGGAAGAAGACACAGCGACTCTCACATTTCACCGTATCCCTTCCCTCAGTTCCTCCATACTAACCTCTTCTCCGGCCAAATCCGGCACCGTACAGTTATGCCGCCGTGTGCGGCGGAATTCGGCTCTCGGAGATGCCGGTTTGGTTAATAGATTCGCCTGCATTTCTCTGGTGGAGAAGTGCGACCAGAGGGAATTCGCTCCGACGTCGACTCAGCTACTGAACAACCCGCTTGCTATCCTTGCTCTTGTCCCCAAAGATGCCGCCATCTTCGCCGCCGGTGCTATTGCCGGAGCCGCCGCGAAAACGGTTACGGCTCCGCTTGACCGTATCAAGCTTCTTATGCAGGTTTTTAGGCTGTCTCTGTAATTTTACTTTGGTATTTTGTTCTTAGGTGGATAATTCTTTTGGCCTCTCGGATTTTATAATTTAAAATTTAAGCAAACGAAATCGTATGTTCAAAATATTTCGAAGCATAAAAGCAATGATACAACTGGTAAATGAATATGAATCCCAAGGACTCTTACTTTCTTAGTGTTTTAGTTCTTTTTAATTATCAGCAAAAAAAAAGAGTAACTGATTAGTCTAGTATCATATATGGTTACAAAGAGATACACATCAGCAGATGAATAAACCGTGGAAAGTGTTTATTTCTTCGTTTCATTGAAAATGGTTTATCTGCAGACACATGGTATACGAATTGGACATCAGAGTGCAAAAAAGGCTATTGGATTTATCGAGGTAGTTTGTACGCCGATGTTCATGTGCTTGTTTTTTCCACATTTGCCTTAGTCTTTCATGTTCTTCTAATTGATGTAAGAGTTATTTGAAATGAACTGCAGGCAATCACTTTGATAGCCAAAGAAGAAGGAGTGAAAGGTTACTGGAAGGGAAATTTGCCACAGGTAATTGTTTTGTTTTGAAATGTGTTGTATTTTATACACGTGAAGAGGTTTTGACTTGAGGTAATGGGTTTTTGAAAATGTGACACCAGGTGATAAGAGTGTTACCTTACAGTGCGGTCCAGCTTTTGGCTTACGAGAGTTACAAGGTTAGTCTGTGTCATCACCAGCCTACTAGCTATTTGGCTTATGTGATGAACAGAAATAAAAAGTTATGGCTGTAAAACACTATAAAGGCACAGAAAATTCCGTAGCTACTTAATCTAGAAAACAAGCCAAGATAATGAAAATTGACATATCAAACGATGATGCTGCTCTAAAGTTAGATAGATTAACCAGAGGGAGCTTATATGAGAGTTAATGTGACCGCCTCTATGAAAATTTCCTTGATTGCATTAGTTTTTTAATTCTCTGTATTTGAAATTGACAACATTTAGCTTAAAGAAAAATTCATCACTTTTCCTGCTCTTTGTCTCTATAATCTGTTCCCTTACACTAATGCTTCCATATTCTGAATTCAGAAATTGTTCAAGGGTAAAGATGATCAACTCTCAGTAATAGGAAGACTTGCAGCTGGTGCTTGTGCTGGTATGACGTCTACTTTGGTGAGTAATCGTGGTTCGATGAATTTACCCCTTTCTAAAATTGTTTATCCTTGTATGGGTTTGTTCATTTGTTGGGGTAAATTAAGGATAACAAACCCACAAAATTAACTCCATAAAAAGTTCACATCCTTATGGTTTATGGTGGCTGTACTGATGTATGACTGAAAAATTAGGCTTAACATCCTCTCTGTCGAAAACTCAACCCTTATATTTATATGCCAATGCAGGAGTTTTATGTGGTTTACCTTCCGCTTTTTAGATTTAATTAGAGTTTCTTCATTTTACTTTAGGCATTCAAGTAACATTTGGTTAGAGTATACACTGCTCCTAGCGTGTAGATATGTTAATCTGATTCTTGCATCTTGATTCTTATGCAGTTGACATACCCACTAGACGTTTTGAGATTAAGGTTGGCAGTAGAACCTGGCTACCGAACAATGTCTCAGGTGAGATTGTTTTTCATTTCATCGTTCCTAACTTAAGCCCTCAAACTCCAATCATTAATAGCCATGTCCTCATTTGTAAATGTGGGATGAGATATGGTCATGTTCATGTATTGATTGATAGACATTGTGTTAATGTAAACTCTTGCAGGTTGCTTTGAGTATGCTCCGTGAAGAAGGAATTGCATCTTTCTATTACGGTCTGGGACCTTCTCTAGTGGGGATAGCTCCATATATTGCTGTTAACTTTTGTATTTTCGATCTGTGAGTCTGCTAAACTTTCGTTCCATTCGTTTCAAGTACCCTTACGAAACAAAATTTTTGAATCGGGCTAATATCTTTTTCTTCCCATAACTGACAATAGAGTGAAGAAGTCTTTACCGGAGGAATATAGACAAAAGGCACAATCGTCTCTATTGACAGCTGTTCTTTCGGCCGGTATTGCAACACTGACATGTTACCCTCTCGACACTGTGAGACGGCAAATGCAAATGAGAGGAACTCCATACAAATCAATCCCGGAAGCATTTGCTGGTAAATAGTATTTTTCATCAGTGCAACACATTAGAGAAAGATCTTCATAACTCGATTTACGTTTAATACATGTTTTGTATAACTGAGCAAAAAAAGAGACTGAGAGTTTTGTTCTGAGGCATTTTTACATCTGCTGTGCAGGAATTATAGACCGTGATGGGCTTATAGGCTTGTACCGTGGCTTTTTACCCAATGCATTGAAAACTCTACCAAACAGCAGGTTAGACTCTTCTTAAACAATAGAATTAGCAATTCTCAGTGTATTTATTTAGATGCTCCTAGGTTGTTTATGTATGTGATAGAAAACAAAACCAAACCCAAAACTATTGCTATGCTTATTGGATCATATAGTCTCGTAACTTGGAACTTTGAGTATTCTTTTATTCAGGTGTTAGGAACCTCACAATGCCAACATGATAAGGATTACTGAATGTCCGTTTATGTTTATTTTGCAGCATTAGGCTTACAACCTTCGATATGGTAAAACGCCTTATCGCCACAAGTGAGAAGCAGCTTCAAAAGATCAACGATGATAATCGTAACCGAGACCAAACTCGATAGCCATTTCTTAAGTTTTGGGTACATTAAAATTTTGGAGCTGCTGGAATATTTTTGCTTGAGTGACTAGTTTTACTTTTTTGTTTTTCACTTTGCTAGTTCAATTTGGGGAAAAAATTGTATTTTCAGCAAAATTATGTCGGAAAATTCGTTATTATTTGGACTTCAGTAGAAAACCAACAACCTTGAGATTCAAGAGACATAAGATGCATTTGAAGGGAGAGCTTGAAACATGTACATAGTTTGAGACTTTGAGTGTTTTGGTTTACATGATCACTAAAGCAGATATTGGTACATTGTTTGTTGTGGAGAAAAGGTTGAAACAAACCCCCTGAACCGCTAAGAACTGTTTCGCTTTCTTACGAAAAGAAAAAAACACACAGACACACGATTTGGATCTATATAGTTCTCGACACACAAATTACAAAATACTTACTTCTGCTTCTGGACCCACAGTTATGCCCGAGTTACAGAATCTGATTTCTATCTCCGGTTTAGTCTTCATCCTCATCGTCATCAGCATCACCATCATCATCGTCATCATCTTCATCTTCATCTTCATCTCCTTCTTCTTCACCTCCTGTCTTTCCCTTCTCTAGCTGCTCTTCCTGCCGAGAAACATCAAGAGAAACATATTCTTAAGAAACATAAAACTCATTACAAGACACAATAGGTCATGTATAAACTCTGCATTGTTTTTTACCTCCTCACTAGCTTCATCTTCATCATTCACCTCGGACCTAGACTTCTCAGATTCATCACTCCCTTCCTCCTGATCCCATAGCAAGGAAATTAGAAGTAGCTACATAAGTGTTTGTATATGTGAGTTAGAGCTTACCATGTTTTTGTTGTATGCATCCATAAGCTTTTCATATTCAGCTTTCCTCTTTGCAGCTTTTTCTTCGTATGGAGCCTTTTCCTTCAAATAGGAAGAGGGGAAACTAATGTCAGTGTCACACTAGTCTCCTTTTTTAGTTCAAAAATCACAATAGAGTATTCAAGTGATATTTTTGGAGACCAAAAGACTTCAATATTAGTAACAAATGACGTAACCAATGTTGTTTAAACTTTCTGGCATTATATGTAACCATGGATTAGTTTAGTTTGTGTAAGCTTTCTAGTAAAGATAAAAACAGAAATTTTTTCTAGTCATCTAACAGAAGGTGGTTGTATATAAACGAAGCGGGCAACTAAAACTTTTTCTAATGTGAGATCTACAGATCCATCCTTTCTACAATAGATTAGAAGGTAACTATTTTCATGAACTAAAAGTTCTAGATCCATCACAGTAGCAGAGAGGAAAGGTCAACAAAACTTACAGCTTGAGACATTGACTTCCATTTCTGCCCTCCAGCTTTCCCAACCTTGACAAGGAAAAGGAAGGTACGTAAGACTATGTATATCCAATAAAGGACTAATTAGCACATGTGATCTTTGCTTACAGCAGAGACAGCCTTCACATTTGGATTTTCTTTCTTGAACGTTTGCCTAAAATCTTCTCTGAAACAAAGAAGCCCAGGAAAAAAATCAATCCAGTAACTTTACAACAAAAACAAAATAAAACAAACTAGTAAACTTTCTTCATGGAAAGCATCCACATTACTTACAGAAAGACAAAGAATGCACTAGGAGCTCTTTTCGGTTTGTTTGGATCCTTTTTGGCCCTCTTCTCTTTACGAGTCTCTCGTTTGGTTGCTTTCGCAGCCGGTGCCTTCCTCTTTCCCACCTTTCTGAAAATCAAACAGAGTTTGGTTGTATTTGAGATCAAATCAAAAGAGACAAATAGCTTTTGGCTATATTTGAGATAAGAACAATGCTTGAAGCATAAAACTAGTCTGCCCAACTTAAGCTACAAAGTCAACAACAGCTCCAAGCATGGTCAGTTACTGTTCCGGTACAGCTAAAGCTAAGTCAGATTTGCAAAGATATTTTAATGACCGATTTCAGCAAGAAGATATTCCCTTTCTCAAGAGCCATAGTGTGTCATTATTACTTGTGAAAGTTTCAGAGAGGTAATGGATTAACCTGTCATCAACTGGCTTCAAGGTTTCCTTTGTGGTCTTAACTTTATCTTTCCCCTTTGCTGTCTTCATCGCTGCAACTGAAGAACCAACGACTTGAATCAATTTCTTAGCAAATTCAGTATGGAACAGAATCAACAGATATACTACTCTCTACAGTGAAAGGAATAAGTCAATCTTATCAGAAGAATCAATCTAAGATACAAAGGAAAAAATCAAATCAACCAAGCCAAGCTCTAGATTCTCCAAAAAGAGGGATAAATAGAACAGGAAACGTAGAAAATGAACTCGAAATAGCAAAAAAAATTGAAGAAACGAATAGATTCAAAAATCAAAACAATAGAGAAAATCCATTACCCTAAAATAATACTCGAGAGACGAATAGAAGATCTGTCCGTTTGAGAGAACCAAGCGGAATCAAAAGAAAAAGACGATCAGAGAGCAAGGGATGAGCATGAAGAGATGCTTATTACCGGTTACCTGTTAAACCTAGGATTGGCGTTTGCCGGTGAACAAAAGGAAAGAGTCCAGTAACCCCAGGTGCTTTTACCTGCTATAGCCGGTCAGATGGTAATAGTGAAGGAAGGTCGTTGATTTGAACGGTTGCGATGAAACGGTTGCCGCCAAATCATGATTTATCAATTGATACGATAAGGATGCGACGGAAGTCACGTGTGGGTCTAAGATGGGCCAACAAGACTTCATTTTAAGAGACGGTTTGGGCATATTTTGTGAAGCCAATCTAAGATGGGCCAATCAACAAGCTAATGAAAATTGAAATTGTAAATTGTACCAAAACCAGATTTCTTTTTTCCTACAACTATAGTTAAACAAAATGGGAGGCTTGCTAAAAAAACCAATCTTCTTTTGGTAGGAAGACGATGTACACACATTATGGTCTGTCTTATTATTGATTATTGAATATAAACATCAAAGTTAAAAACTGTGTGGGAATGCTAAGACCAGAGAAACGTAACCAAAAGAAGCAAAATTCGAGGCTAACACATTGCAGACGGCTTTACACAAAATAAAGAAGAAGTTAACTTGTCACAGAAACAAACTACAGCTTCTTTGAACCTGCGGACCCGTTTGGACTCACGGATCAACTTGAGAAGGTGGCGTAGGCAACTTAGGCTTCATATGAGAAGGTGGATTGTGCTTGAGTCTCGTAAGCACTTGACGCATACGAGAAAGATCAGTGGGTTTCCCTGGTTTTGGTCCTTGTATCACAGTTATGGAAGCTTTCTTACTCTTCCCTTTCTTCTCCAAAACCGGTACTTCACGAGGAATGAGTTCCGCAATCGCCTTCCAATTGTTTTTCTCAGCTTCAGCATAAAACTTTTCTTGGTTCTCCAAAAACAACTGGCAAATAAAAGAAAGCTTGAGAATTTTCACAAACTCAAACACACAAATCTTGATATGATAACAGCAAGTTTACAGAGACCCAATCACCACCTTCTCTTTCTCGCGGTTGGATTTCTTGTTGTTTTCAACAGTTATGCTACGCTTGCTATAGAACTCGGCCTTGTATTGCTCTGCTGTTTCTATAATCTGCTGAACCATTTCTTTCTCCTTCTTCTCCTTCTCTTCCAATCTCAGAGCGTTTAGCCTGAGACACACAACGCAACACAACACAACACTTTTCAATATAAGATATTTAATCAGACATTACTAATCCCAGATTATGCTCATGTAAATGGAAAATAAGACAACATAACTGTACCAATTAGTAACAGGATCAAAGACATGGATTACTGGCTTTTGTCAGACTCTTTGTTCAAGGATAAAACTTCTTGAACAAATTAAAAGACCCCATGGGACAATGTTTGGTCAACGTTAGGAGTTGACCCCTTATTCAATGGATATTTTACAGACTTGCTAGATTAAGGTTTTAGGCAAATCCAAAGCAATCAAATCCAAAACTCGTGGAAACTCTATAAAAACATCGACTTTACAAAACGGAAAAAAAAAAATCGAAAAATTCGAAGATTATAGAATTTATGAATTAAAAAAAGAGACGATGAAGCTAGTAAAGGATCAAAAGCTGCATGCAAGAAGAAAGGTTTTACCTTCGCCACTCCCTGAGAGCGAAACCTTCCTCTTTCTCCATGACCGATGGAGGCGGCAAGATCGGACCGTTCGTAGGTTCTGAACTGTTTACAAACGGCGGAGATTGATTTTCTGGTAGTTCCTTCTGCGATGACGAGAAATCTCCTTCGTTAGAGTGAGGAGACGAATCGCCGCCTGGTGAGTCTTTCTCAGGTTGGGAGTCAAAATCGGAGAAGGACGAGTCAAATCGCTGCGACTGGAAACGAGACTCGTAAGGCGTGTGGTTTCCACCGTCGTGGCCATCTTCTTCCGTCGAACGAGTCGAGTCACCGAGTCGTGAATCGTCGTTGCTCATCTTAAGTTCTGTTTTCTCCAAAAAAGTCTCCTTGCTCTGCTTGTGAACACACTGGATTTCGTAACGACGAAGTTCTTCTTGGAAAGAACCACGTGGCATTTTAGTATTTGTTGGAGATTAAAGACACGAAAGCATTGAAAATGATACATCGTACGTATCGTGGATCTGACTCTATTTGCTTACGTGTCCTGTTTTGTATGGGGCAAAGAAGCATCCGTATGGTGGACGTTGACGTACAGAACTATTATCTTCAGATCCCTTGAATGTTCTAAACTTGATGGGCTTTTATGAAAAGAGAAGGCCTTTTAGATCACAAAACCGCTTTTGTAACACACATGATTTTATTTACGGTTTAATTCGGTCAGTTAATTACGATTTTGGTGGTTTATTTTATTTTTAGTGATTTGTACGCTTGCAAACGATATTGGTCGAACTTCATAATCACAACTTCTTCAGACTTCTCTTCAATATTTTTATATTCCGCTAAACGTCAAAAAATTTTACATATATAACACTGGATAATCTACATTTACCCTTGTTGTAACTTATAAGGAGATCATAAAGAGTACAAATTGCATGTGAGATGTGTTACACACAGTAAACTTTACAAAATGCGATAATTACCTTTTCCTGATATTTAAGATTACATACAGCAATTTAATTACGAGCACTCTCAAAACGACTAAAAAAAAGGAATTATACATTGTTCCAAGGCTCTTCTTTGGAGGCCGGTTCGTTTTTGAACGTGTGAAGCCTGAAACTACAAGCCTCCACGGCTTCTCCTACCGTTAAGAACATCCATTCTTTGCCCAAATTACCATCGATGAATTTGGATCTTGTTAATTTCTTCACGACCTCTCCTTTCGGATTTGCCAATACTAACTGAGGATTAAAAAAAAAAAGATTTAACAATATGAAGAATACGCGTAATGTACCCTAAAAAGCATTACGTTACCTTCAGCGCTCTTCTGTCGATAATTTTCTTAATTTCCTCCATCATGCTTATACCACTCGTGTCGATATTACCAACAGCTGTTTTGTTCAGCACACACAAATTTAGCCTCGAACAAAAACAATACAAGTAGTATCATAGAAATTAAATCAAGATATGCAATTACCGGACATATCGAGTATAACATATTGCAAACTGCTTTCTCCTGATGTTTTGACTCTCTCTTCCTCTTCATCGATCCACCTTGTGATTCTGTACCCGGCAAATAAATGAATAGGAAACATAATTATAAACTAATCCTCATTAATTCCTTGGCGTGTATAAATGAATTAGGGTTAAAAGGTTACCTCTCACGCAAGTAACCAGCGTTGGCAAAGTAGATGGGAGCGTCAATTTCCAAAATGAGAAGACCAGGAACGGTTCTTGAGTAAGGATACTGCTCAGTGTTCCTATATATCATGCTGTTTGGTATGTTTCCCTTCACCGCAGTCCGTGGCCTCGACATGAATAGCAACAATCTCGCTATCGATATCGCCACCTTTTCACAGAATGTAAATGTAAATGCAAACGCCAAACACAAACAACACAGTATAAATCTGAACTATATGAGGTATATTCTGAAGTAAATGTATAATAAGACTTACGGCGAGGACGAGACCGATCTCGACACTACCGAAGACAACACCAAAGTAGGCGCTCATGCAGACGAGGAAGTCGAATTTGTCGACTTTCCAGAGATGAAAGGCAGCTTGATAGTCAATGAGGCCGAGCATAGCGGCTATGATGATAGAGGAGAGGACGACGAGTGGTGTGTAGTGGAAAAGCGGAGTGAGGAAGAGCAGTGTGAACATTACCGCAATCGCCATCACTATGTTCGACACTGCTGTCTTGCAACCCGCGTTGAAGTTCACGGCCGACCTCGAAAACGGTCCTAGAACGCAGTGTGTGGTAATGTGATTAATATTATATTATAATTAAGTTTTTTTTTTTTTGTTTTTTCAGATTACATATATAGTTAAGAGATGTGGTAATAATATAAATTGAAGGTGTATGTGTACATACCGGTTGTGAGGTAACAAGAAGTGAGGGAACCAACGATGTTCATCATTCCAAATGCTATCATCTCTTTGTTCCCGTCAATGTTGTAGTTCTTGAACATCGCAAAGCTCCTCCCCACAGCTATACCTTCCTGCATTTTTACACATGATTTGTTTTTTTTTTAGTTTTTTTTTTTTATGATTTTCATTTTTTATTTTTCATATTTTAATCTCAAAACTGCATACAGTAAAACCTCTATAAATTAATAATGTCGAGACCGTGATATTTTATTAATTTATCGTGATATTAATTTATCTGTAAATTAATAATTATTAATTTATAAGAGAAAACTTGTTTTCTATATATAATTTTTAAAAAATTCTTTGGAATAACGTTATATTTTTAAAGTTTAACAAATCTTAAAATATAAATTATGATTAACAATCAATAAAATAGTTTTTAATACCATATTGGATTGTCTATATAAAAATATATATGTTCATAAGTTTAAAATTTATAAAAAAATTATGGCTACTATCTGTATTATTAATGATAAAATTGAAGATAACACTATAATATATTTAAAAACATTTACAGGTAAAAAATCAATTATCACATTAAAAAATCATCATTAAAATTTGAATGTATGCCGTAAAACACCAATAAGAGCTACTGATATAATAACTAGAGAGATGAGATTCAATGAGATTTTAACCTTAAATAAAATCAAATATATTGGTCATATTATAAATATTATATATACATATATTTATATAAATTTATATAATTATTAATTTATATTTTTGTTGGGACCATATATTTACATAGGAGTTTCAAAAAAAAATATTATCTTATTATCTTATCGAATTTGATGAATTTTTACATTGTCCCGATTTGGAACCATCAAAATTTATTAATTTATAGTGATTATTGATTTATCGAGTATTAATTTATAGAGATTTTACTGTATTATGAGTTATAAAAATTGCTCTCGGTTAGGTTAGTTTCCTAGCTTTTAACTTTAGTTGGAAAAGGGGCTATTAAGGTCCGGACTGATGTGAAAAAGCTAACCCAAAAGTGAAAGGAGGTGTATTCAATCTAGCATTTGGAGTGATTTGTATTAAAATCATATATATGTTTGAAAATATATATATTAAAAAGTTTTGTAAAATCTCATGTTATTGAATTAGTGATTTGTAAGGAACCACTAATTGAATACTTGGTTAATTTGCTAGTGACACTGTTAGTAGAATTTCCTTTCTTCGTTAAAATTAGTCGAGTATAATAATTAGCATTTATGAGTTAATGAAAGAAGACATTTTACACAATACTTAGATCATATTTCTTCCAGATTATTACTCTATCTCTCCGATTATTACTCTCAAAGTTCAAAGCATACTATTTTCTCGTTAAATCCAAGACCTATAACTAATCTTTACTTACAGCGAGGGCGATGATGCCAGTGATGAGGCCAGTCTTGACAGCTGTCGACATGTAAGGGGAAGTGAAGACGAGATCAGACACGGACAGTGGATTTAACCCTTTCTTCAGGTTCCCTATCTGCACATATCGTACACCTTCTTTTATTCTATCATTCCTCTCCATTTTGTACAAAATTATAATAAATAAAATTCCGAGAAAGCACATGAGCCCACTTCTTTTCCCACAATCATTTAAAAACTTACAACTTCTTGCTTCTTGTATCTTTTCTAACCACAATATTCTACCTTATTTTTCTCTCTTTTTTAAATTAAGGTGAAATGTAAATATTAAGGTGACATGTATATATTAATTTTGTCGATTTCGGTGAAATGACTATACATTATATATTTTTGGTCTTTATTGAATTATTGTTTCAATTATTATTGTCAAAATAAAGAGATGGAGAGATTGAAAAATACCACTTGAACACCATGTCTCTCAGCGTGAGTGAAGTAAACCAAGAGGCTTCCAAGAATCACTGAGGTCAAAGGAGCCATCGCCGCCACCCAGAAGAATTTTGGTTTCTTCGTGCTCTGCATCATCAATTCGTCATTAACACACATTAAATTACGTTTTCTACTGTGTGATTACTTAGATTTCATCATGTGAATTTGTCTCTTATATATATTCTTTGTAAGAAAAAGATTGATAAAGACGAGAATAATGGAATTATACGATTACGAACTATCATTGTAGCGTGTCTTTGTTAAAATCCGCCCTCGTCCAAAAAAATGGGAATAATTAATTTGATTCAAATCATGATAAAAAGGTAAGAGTTGAAATAATGAAATCTTACGAAATATTTGGTGGAGAGAAGGAAGAAAAGGAAACCACAGCCGAGAACGCCACTCTCCCATCTCCACTGCACAACAAAAATACCTTTAATATTTTTAAATTTATCGACACTGTAAACTTGAGTGATATTTTGGTAAATTTAATTAAATAATTAATTAGCCAAAAAATAAATAAAGCGGAAATAAGACACACCTGGTGAGTTTGGGAGAAAACGGAACGCATGACAGAGATAACATCAGTGGCTTCTGTGAAATGTTTAAGTCCGAAAATACCCTTAAGCTGTTGCAGACTCACCACCGTCGCTGCTCCTCCCATGAATCCCACTATCGTTGCATGCGATAGAAAATCCACTATGAACCCTAACCTGCAATTAAAATTATCTTTAAAACTTTTTCACCTTTATTTACTTTTGTGTAATTTTACTTTTTTTGGTTAAAAAGTTTGTTTCTTTATTGGTAATTGTTGAAAAGATACTGACAGTAAATGATCAGTTTGCATCATTGACTCATCCATCACCAAACTCACCAGCTTTATCAGAATTTTTGGGAATCTATAATAGATTCCACCTATAAATGTATACGTCACAGAAAATATCTCCCATGTCTTTTGGACCAAGTAGTAACCAATCACACTAAAAAATTAAAAACATAATCATACCAGTAAAGTAATTACATTCGCGTAGGATTCTCTACACAGTTATCACGCGTTTATCCTATAGGCTCGTTTGTCAGCAATATCAAGTTCACGTGACGTAACTTGCAATGACGTATTTCACTCATAGCCCAGTGCTTTCTGAATGGTTTATAATGTCTTTTTTTTTTATATTGTATGAGTCCAAGAAAGCAAGGTGAAACAAAAGGTTAATATTTTTGTTCAGATATTTTTGAGTGCCGGATTCTTTGTCCACATCCAAAGGTATAACTCACACTTTAAAACCAGATAAAAAAAGGAAAATAAAGTAACAAAGGAGAAATCAATTAAATAAGAACCTGAAAAAGCCGAGTGAGGCTTCGAAAACGCCGGCGAAAAACGTGGCGGTGAAAGCGATTTGAAGGTAAAGCTTAGGATATTTCTCAGCGTCTATTTCTTTGCTCAACATCGCACCTGTCAACAGAGACGCAACCGCAACCGTTCCGACCGCCAAATCCTTTGAACTCCCCAGTACCGCGTACACCAATGGCGGTACAAAACTCGAGTCTAATTAAACGCAAACAAACAAACAAAAACACACAGTACAATACAATAATTAGAACTCTGAATTTTAATCAAACTGTATTGAGTTTCATTGTATAATTACTTACTGCCTTTCCTAGATTATAATTTGTTTTAGTTTAATTGTCAGAAACTTTCTTTTATCAGGAATAAAATATTTGAGTTAGGACAAAACAAAAAAAAAAGTGTTGGATTTGAGGTTCTTTTGTTATTGCCGTAATGCTCGCTATCTATTTCTTAAAAATATAGTTCTCAGTGTAATCATAAGAAACCGCCATTTTTATTTTAATAAAGAACCGTTTTACAAACAAAAAAAAAAGAATAGAAAAAGAAGAAATAACGCTTACAAAGGCCAAGAATGGGAGGCAAGTTAGCGAGTTTGGCGTAACTGATGCCCTGAGGGATGGCGAGGCTAGCGATGGTGATTCCGGCAATGAGATCCGATTTGAAGAACTTGAGATTGTAGCGTGGAGCCCATTCGCAGATCGGGAAGAAGTACTTGATGCCTAATACAACTTTCCTAGATGCTTTCTGGTTCTTGAACTGTCTAAAAGGGTCGTCTGGAAACAGAGTTTCCTTCAATGAGTACTGAAGTGACTTCAAGAACGGCTGAGGCTCGGGAGCCTCCACCGTGTGGTGGCGGCGGTGCGACTCCTCCGCTCCTTGAGGAAATGTGTAGTCCGCCGTGCCCATTTGAAGACCGCTCGGATTCGGTTCGTGGTTAGGAAAGATTTTGTTGGAGTTTTTGGCGGCTGGAATTTAGGAATGAGGAGAAGAGCTAAGGTGGTTTCTTCTTTTTATAGGAGGAGTTACTAGTTAGTGTGTATAATGTAATAAATAGATAAATAGAAGAAAATAATTCAAAAGCGTTGAAATTAATATTGGAACCTAGCACTGGGTGAAAGTGCGTAAGGGCATCTCCAACCATGATATCTATGGGGTTCATAGCAATTGTTTATTAGTTTTATTGCTTATTAAAAAAGAAATCATCTCCACCTTAAAACTACTTTTCATCAATGAACCTATATTTGAGTATCAATTGAATATAATAATAATATAATTTATAAAAAAAAAATTCGATTTTTTCAAAATTAACATTACATAATTAAAATTACATAAAAACAACATTAAAATACAAATACAATACATGAAACACTTAGAAAACATTAGAATACACAAACATTTAAAAAATACTGAAATATGAAATCTTAAAGGAAATAACAAAATACAATACATGAAGCACTTAACCAAATTTATGCCATATATGTTCAACTAGATCATTTTTTAATTGCTGATGAATATCGTTATCACGAACTTGATTGCGAATCCCGATCATATTGCCAATATTTGTGGGCATATAGGTCGAATACGTCATATCGACTTGTGAAAATCTCGTTCCTTCTCTTTGTTCAAACTCTGATAGATCATATTGGGTGTCGGATTCTCTTTCGTCTTCTACTATCATGTTGTGTAAGATGATACACGTTCTCATAATCTTGCCTATTTTTTCCTTATCCCAAATAAGAGCAGAGTTTTTGACAATAGCAAATCTTGCTTGCAAGACTCCGAAAGCTCTTTCAACATCTTTCCGAACAAATTCTTGTCGTGTAGCAAATAACTTTTCTTTCTCACTTTGTGGAAGGTGGATAGATTGTATAAACGTTGCCCAATTTGGGTAAATACCGTCGGTGAGGTAATATCCAAGTCGGTACTGATTTCCGTTGACAGAGAACCTGACTTTTAGAGCTCGACCTTGTAATACATCATCAAAAATAGGTGAGCGATCGAGAACGTTTATATCGTTTAAAGTACCTGGAGGTCCAAAAAAGGCATGCCAAAACCAAAGATCGTATGATGCTACAGCCTCCAAGACAATTGTTGGTTTTCCTGAACCCCGTGTATATTGGCCTTTCCAGGCTGTTGGACAATTTTTCCACTCCCAGAGCATACAACCGATGCTTCCAATCATCCCGGGGAATCCACGATCCTCTCCTTCATTAAGCAAGCGTTGAAGATCTTCTCTAGTGGGTCGTCTTAAATACTCATCCCCGAAAGATGATATGATTCCTTCCGTGAAATGTTCCAAGCATGAAATTGTTGTACTTTCACCGAGGCGCAGGTATTCGTCCACTGCATCCGCAGCACTACCATATGCTAACATACGAATTGCTGCCGTAAATTTTTGTTATCCCGATAGACTAACTCTTCCAGTGGCATCTCTCCGTTGTTGAAAAAATGGCATTTCTTGGGAAAGTTGTCCCACAATACGCATGAACAATGACTTGTTCATTCTGAAACGGCGGCGGAATAAGTTGGGCGGGTATGTAGCATCTTCACTGAAGTAGTCATTCCATAAACGGATATGACCTTCTTCACGATTTCTTTCAATATATGCTCTCTTCTTCTTCTTCTTTGGTTTGGGAACTGTTTGACGTTCAAGAAAAAAGTTCAAAGCTTTGTCAAATTTTTGATCAAAAAGATCATCAAACTGGTCATCCAAACTATCATCAACAATTTCAACAAAATTTTCATCATAATTTTCATCAAAACCATTGTTGAAATCATTGTAAGAAGAAGATGCCATGAGAGAGGTTAAACAACAAATTTTAAAAACGGTGTTTAGGTGTTTAGAAGAGAAGAGTTGGATTACTTTTAAACCGTTTGTGTTTGAGAAGATAACATAGAAGAAGATAGAAGAGAAGACTTTGAGAGACATAGTTTGAGGGTGCTTTGTTGCTATATATAGATGGGCGATTATGAGAGATGAGGTAGTGGATACCAACATCTGAAAAATCATGTGGCTACAAAGATATAAAAAATAAAACATGTGGATACAAATACAACTCAAATAAATATGTGGATACAAACATATGAGTACACAGCTTTAAGACAACTTGCGGATACAAACAAGTGATAAAGACGATAGGACACATCTCTATGATACAAACAAGCTTTATGACAACTTGCGGAGTCAGCACTTTCTCCAAACCTGTTCAATACAAAACCATTACCAAAGTCCAGAAACCAAATGTATGAAAGCAATTTCCAAAGTAAATGTATGAAAGCGATTTCCAAGCCATAATGTAGTAGATAAAGTGCCATTACATGAACTTAAAAAACACAAGGATATGAAATGGAAAGCATAAACCGAAGTTCAAAATCTACCCTAAACATTGTGGTCGTCTTAAAAACATGAAAACACCATTCTTCAACAAAGAAAAACCCAACAGTTCACTAAAGATTAACCCAACAGTTCACTAACTAGTTTATCCTTGAGGGCCCTTTCCTTTTCTGAAAGTAAGTTCATTCGTAACACCAAACTATCAAGCAATTTCTGCTTGGAGAGCCTGTCCTTAATCGCAAGATCCTGTTTCTTTATTTCCCAAAACTTGTTCATCTCCGTCAACTCTTGCCCGTCATCTTCATCGGATTGAGCACCCTTTTTACCCTTGCCATTGCTTTCCAAAGCCTTCTTCGCTGCCTTCACACCCGGGGGCCGACTCTCTGGTGACTCCTCAGCATCAACTTCATGTGGCGATGTTGCAGCCGGTGACTTGTTCTTCCTTTTTTTGACCTCGCTCTCTTTCACAGCGGATACTGACGACCACTTCTGGTCGTGCCTGAGTTCACGCCAGCAATGTTCAAGTCCGAACTTGAAGCCGTGATCACTAACAAATATCTGATGAGCAGCCTTCATCAGATCGTTATCATTTTGACCAGAGCTTTGCTGTTTAACGGCTGCATCGTAGCACCCGAAAAATTTGCAAGTCTGGTCATTGATACGGCCCCACCGTTGCTTGCAAAAATCAGCTAAATGCGGACTGTTGTTGAAGTACAGACTGATACGACCCCAAAATGCGCCGGTTTCTGGTCATTCCCGATGACGGGATCCTTGCTTGTGTTCAACCATGCCGAGATCAAAACGATATCTTTAGTTGGATGCCATTTCCTCTTCGATGTTTTCGCGTCAACAGTCACAGTGGGCTCCTCCGTCAACTGGGAACTAAAAGGTGGGAGCTGAGAGGATCCTAAGTCTACATTTGGTGAGAATGAGAAGCCGTTCTCTTCCTGGCTATTTAAGAGGTTAAGAAAGCTGTGCGGTGAAGCCATAGTGGGGTTTACTTGCGTTGAAGTGTGAAATGAAGAAGGGTGATTTGAAGAAGGGTAAAAAGGGTTTAATATAGAAGGATTTAAAGTGTATATTGCTTAGTGTTTGGTGGTGACATTAATAAGGGTTTACAATGTTCTGTTTTATGATGACAATTTTCTCAAGTTTTCAAAACGTTAAAAGATTTAAATTTAAAGTTTTTAAGAGATTTTACGTTTTACTAAATATCTACCAGAGTAGCTAGCAATGAATGAAACCATTAAGCTTACATCGTAGAAGTAATGACCGATGACATGATGGTCTATAAGGGTTTTTAATCTCTATTTAACCTAATCTAAAGCAGCAACCATTGACAAGATGTACCTTAACTATACACCTAACTGTCTTAAATGCTACGAGGTGAAGTAGTTGGGTTTATGACTAACCTTTGTTCAACGCGGGAAGTATTCCTCGGTTATGGTTGGAGTAGATGGCTTCGATCTTTATGTGACATGACCTCGCAAAGACAGAAAGGGAGTGTAATGAAGTGATACACTGACAAATATTAAACCCTAAACGTAATAAAGCAACGAATAAGGAACTTTTACCTTCACACATTCTTTAGCCTTCCTCCCGATCTGTCACCCAAATATCAAAGACGGAAAAAAAGTAACAAAATTCTCCAAGGCAATAACCAAACATGACCGAAATACATTAATGAAACAGATGTCTTAACAATGTCTTAACATAAAGGTAAAGCCGCTTACATAACTACTGATTGTCTTAACTTAAGGGAAAAACCGCTAAAACACGTAGCAGGTCATCATAAACTACCTAAACAGGTAACACAGAGCAGCAAATACACAAAGAGAGCAAAGCATAAGATAGCTTTCACTTTGACGTGCCATTTGTTCCTTCAGAGTAGCAACTTCTTCAGCGAGCACACGTATCTCCTCCCTCACTTCCCCTTCGAGCACACTGACCTCCTCCCTCGCTACTCGAGTGGTGGGTTGAGGTAGTATGTCGAACATGGTCTCCCTTTGGTCTTCAAGTCTTATCTCCAAACGGGAGATAACTGCCTCATCCCACCACTTAAAGAGATGCTCATATGTCTCCTGCACATTGTCGGATGAGGTGGTCAGAAATTGTAAACATGGGCATAAATATATCTAAATGAACTCGCTCATCATCTTACCTCGTTAACGTACTCAGGACATCTGTAATATTTGCGTCTAGGAGTCCCACTAGTCCCACCTCTGGCCACTTCAATCTTCACCGGTTTACCACAGAAGCATTTCTTGGGAATGCCGTAGTTGCCATCCGCGTATGCCCAACGCATGTCTTGCTCCGGTTCATCATCAGAGGATGGCTCGCTCCAGCTCATCGGCATCCTGTTTACAAAACAATATGCTTTCACTATCACTAAAAAACAATACTTAAACAATAGTAATCAAGGCAGGTTTAAGCATCTTCGAAACATTATCCCTAAACAATACTTAAACAGATATGCTTTCGCAAACGAATAGGTGAATCAACCCAAATACAATACGATTTATTGATCACACTTAGTGATCAAGCTTAGTGATCATTACTATAAAGCGTAAACACTAAACCACAAAACAGATTTCGAGTAAAAACACAATCAAAACGAGAGGAAAAACCCCGAGTTCCCCTAAAACGACAAAGCCCTTATCCGTACTCAACAAAACTTATCGATATACAACTACAAATAACCGATTAATCATCACCATATTCAATCATTCATATATATCAATCAAATCAAAAAGCCCTAAATTTTAAAACCAGAAATCGATTTTTCCCCAAATTCAACGAAACCCTAATTTCGAATCGAAGAACAACAACATTAACACTACACCCACGAATAAAAATCAAATTGGTGATAAATCCCTACAATAAAACCGAACAAAAACACTAAATCGTTTTTTCCCCCAATTTCCCCTAAAACCCTAATCGCAATTTCAAGAAGAACGCGAGCAACCACTCGACAATTACCCAGAAATGAACTAAACGGAGTCAGATGAACTTACCTTTCTTATTCGGCGGCGAGAAAAGGCTGGAGAAAAGGCTGGCTTCACCGGCGGCGTCGAATCGCTCTGGGAGACGAGGAGATATGTGTTCGACGACTCAAAAAAAATTTCAACTCCAAATGAAAAAACGAAACACTTTACCCATTTCTCCTCCACACAACAGCCAATGAGATTTCGCCACTTGTTCAGTTATACCCGAGTGAGACGGGTTCAATAAACTCACTCTACTCATACCGTCTCACTCGATTTGAGCTTCAAAAATAATTAAAAAACGAGACCACACAAAACGGGCTCACTTATGAAACCCTCTTGAACCTCCGTTGGAGGTGACCTAAGAGCATCAGTAATGGTGAACCTCTCATGGGGTTCATCTCAAATTTTTTATTAATAAAATTTTGAGAAGAAAGAGAAAATAGAAAAAGAAAAAAAGTTTAAAGAAAATAGGAAAAGAAGAGAGAGAGAAAAAGAAAGAAGGTGGAGAAAAAAGTTTTTGTCAAAAGCCAACCAATCAAATTCGGCCAAGTCACGCGTGAACCCTTTGTAAAACCGACTTCAAAAGTTCTAAATTAGAATCTGTCTCTATAAATATTGAGCTTTATTCATTTAATTTTTAATGAAAAATCTCATAAACCCCATGCTTGAACTCCTTTAAAACCATCGTTACAGATGCTCTAATTACTAATTACAAAATTAACCACTCGTCTTCAATTATTTCAATCTCATAAGTTTATTTTCTGATGTAAGTTTTAATTGAGGCTTGCTATACGAGGCCAAATATAATAATTATACAATTTCATAGCTCTCCATAGTTAACGATAGACGCATAGCTGATATCCTGATTCAATTAATTATATATTGTTTTTTTTGCTCCGTCTAGCTAGTTCAGCATATTTCGAGTTTCATATCCTTTTCTGAAGCTAGTTAGAGATATCCATTAAAACCTGAACAGTTGATCTACTAAATATAATTAACATAATTTGTAATGCTCATAATTCTATTAATTCATTTGGATAGCTTGATAACTAGTCTAAAGAATGTGTAGCGTCTACTACGTAAAAGATCATTCATGGTATAAATTTGACTTTTAACATCAGTTGAGTAAAATAGTAGTGAGGAAAAAAATAAAGGAGTTAGAAGAAATGGATAAGCACCGATTCACGGATGTATGACTCTGTCACTCTGATGAATGTCTTGTTCCGACCAGAGAGAGAACGCAAAAGCAAGAAAGCTTACGTTTCCACTTTCAATCATATATTCTGAATTGCCCATTTTACCCCCCAACTCAGCGACCCTACTACTGAATTGGCATCATCATCGTTCCCTTATCATTAAACTATTTATAATGTATGGCTCTGCTGACATTTGTCCATTACCAGATGGGTTAGTTTCTCCTGACTGCCATGTCACCTTTTTCCCCTAATTAGAAAACTATATATTATTTTTGATATTTTCAAAGTATAGGTATTTTTTTGAAAAAAAGAAACTAGGTTAACGCTATATGATTTTGCTTTGTGGGATAGTTTTCAAAAGTTATTTTGAACGTGCCTAACGTTAGGAGTTGGAGATGACGATGTAGCAACAACAAATGGTCACGGTACTTTAGTTGGTAACAATTGTATACTTTTTCTCTTATTTTTTTCTATTTGTATGTTCTTATATATACGTATAAGTTTTTAACTAACAGTTGAGTTTTGGTAACGGTTGCAAACACATGAAACTCCCTGGAATCTCTTCGGATTAACCGTTCCAAAACTAAACTCTTGAAAAGTAAATAAAATAAAATAACAAAAATCTTGAAACTTGACCAACCATGTAACTGAAACTTTTAACTATATCTAGTGTCCTTTACTTGATGTTGCAAAGAAAGCTCTGATACAACTACTAAACCCTATGTTAATCATAACATTTCGCATATATAAGAAGAAACTAATATAGGGAGTAACCAGTTTTCACCTTGAAAAAGGTTGAGCCTAAATGGACGAATATTGGTTTATGTCTTTCCGTTTCTCAGTCGAAAGTGAGTGCAATCACAGCTGGATGGGCACGTGGTAAACGATGATTTATGTTAGTTGTTTATTATGTCCTTTAATAAGTTTTGTATAACTTGTACCCACCGAGTCTCGCTAGCTCCAAATTTGTCCATGAGTAGTCTTCTTTCTTGACCAAATTTTATTTGCATGGCAGATGATTTAAATTGATATGTATGGTTGAACATTAAACACGTGAACTAACTAAATACACTAATATAACCTTCAAAAAACAAATCTATTCTAATTCTTACAAATACTACTACTACTAAACTGTAATCGCATGACTAAAATAAGTACAGCACATATGTTAATTAAGTGTTCATCTAACTGACGACCATAATTTACTACTTAAGTTTTTCTAAGTAACAAGACATAGCCTTTTCTTTTCAGTTAGTCGTATCGTATTAAAACTTAAAAGTATAACAAAAGTGTGTGTATAAAAAAGTAACAAAAAAACTCTGGTCAAATTAAGGAGTAACGGCTATTGACCCGTAATATAATCAGTCGACATTCGACGCGGCTCGAATCGCAGCCGCAGCCACAGGTGCTTCTGTCTAAAACGGAAGTTATTCCCACCACAAATATCCTGACACGTGGTGTTCTTATTTTGGTTTTCTGTATACTGTTTTTTTCCTCACAATATACGTAAAAATAGTGTTTTTTCTTTGCATTCTCATTGAAAACGATGGATCAGCTTAGTTTTTGCCTACACTTACAATGGCCTCTGTTTCACGCTCGGAGTATAAACGATGAGTCGATGAGTCGATGAGTCTCATCACTCATGTAACAACCGCGAAAAAGATTAAGCCATACACTACAAATAAACAAGGTAATAAATTACTTTTGCTTGCGTAATTTTTTTTTTAATAAACGATTTACTTCAGCAATTACACATGGCAAAAAAGTCTATGGCTAAGTCTCGGTTAGTAATATAATAAGACGATT